GCATGGCCTTGTCTATAAAGAGTCTATGAGATGAGTGCAGACAGGAGGGAGAGAGAATAGCAGGATAACAGGATAAGCTCCAGATTAGGAGCCAACACTGAGAAAATGGGGAGGTGAAAAGCAGGAGGGAAAATAAGAGTTTAGGAGGCAGAGCGAAACCAGTGAGTGGAAGAGAGGCTGATTAGTGTTTGATTAGGTGGCTGGCCTGAGGGGAAATGTCTGTCAAGAAAACACAGTGCCATTACGACTGTGCTCTGCCCGCTACACCATCTGCTACAGTGCAGCATGCATGACTGCCTGGCCGCGCACTTCCACGCTACAAAGCAGTGTGCTGCGAATTTAACATCAGCAGTGTTGGACTTCATCGGACGAAAGCTGCGCCTTTAATATTTGCATCAACACAAACACACAGAGGGAAGGAGGAGGAGGAGGAGGAGGAGGAGGAGACTTCATTCACTGCGCTTGATGGAGCTGTATTTGTATCCTCTAATCTTCAGGCAAGCAAATGGTCAGCAGACATCTGATGGTCAGCAGAATCAGTGTTTCATCAGCTGCCAGTGCTTTAAGGAGACGCTCGTATGCACACACACACACACACACACACACACACACAAACACAGGGGAGTGTCAACCCCCTGGGAGCTCAAACAGCTGAACGAAGTCATCACATCAGCTGTCTGGTCGATTCTGCTGACAGAAGAGCAGCAAAGAGACAGACAGCGCTAACACACTGTCGTCAAAAATCTCCCGATTAGCTCGTAGCTAACCGATATGTCGGCAATATTGACAAAAACAAGCGTCGTGATACTTTAATAACCCAGTACTGATCATGTGATGAGTGTTGATGAGGATTTTTGCTCTCATAATTGGTTCACATTTAAATGTTGGAAGTTGTGACAGCTTAAAGTAATATTAGAGCCACAAAACAGAGTACAAATAGTTAAATTATCATATTATAATCAGCTTATATCAATATATTAAGTTAATTATCAATACATTTGTTGATCAGTAGTTGTTTTTTATAGAATCTGGTTGGTTTTCAAATGTAGAATAAACTGACTAAAATATCACGATTTCTAGTTTCCCATTGGACCCAAACGTCACACAAAGCAGCAAAATAAGTTAAATTCACACATGAGAGGCTTTAATCAGCATATATCAAAATATATTCAGCTAACTATCAAAATATTGGTAGTTTTTACTACATCTATTGATCAGTAGATTTTTTTTTTTTATAGAATCTGGTTAGTTTTCAAATGAGACATGTAGAATAAACCGACTAAAACATTTCAAGTTTCCCGATGGACCTGAATGTCACACAAAACAGCAAAACAAGTTAAATTCACACATATGAGATGCTGTAATGTAAAAATGTTGGTAGTTTTCAATACGTCTAGTGATCAGAAGATGTCTTTTGAAGAAGCTACAAGTTACGCACTTCTATTAAGTGCAGCCTTACAGGGAAATGACAGAACACTTTCTCAAAGATATCTCAACGCAGTTGTTGAGTCAGTTCAGGTTAAATTCTACTAATCTTGAGTTTACTGAATTGGGTGTAGAAGTTCTACTACAGATACCCAGGTAGCTGACACATGTTATGTAGCGTGCGTGGACAGATACCAAGTCTCATCTCTGTCACCTCAGTGATAATGAGGAGGCCTGTAAGAGACAGAGACCTGCATTTTACTGCGCTGACTTTAACCCTAAACAATACTTAAGCTGTCCGTGTGATTGCCGTGCAGCGATGAGCGCAGAGTCGGCAGCATCACCCAGCTATCACCCACTTTGAATCCTCCTATAATCCATTCCTAAATTACAGGAATGGTTACCACGCAGTCTCCAGCTGCAGCCCACATTTCCATTGTCTCCCTATTGTCAGACGCGCTCCTTCACTTGCGTCAGCACACACCCGTAACCACCGCGGCTCAAAGGGCTCCTCCTGCAACGCTCCATGACTCCTCAGGTCAGAGGTCACCTGTGGCCTCCGGTCTCCACGACGACAGCCTGGCAGTCCCCAAGACCGAGCCGGGAGTTCCCCCTTCTTCCTCCCACATACAAACACTGACACTCACAGAGGAGCAGCTTTTGTCCCCAAACTCCTGTGCGTCAAAAGAGAGCCTGGAGTGCGAGCTTCAAGCCCAAACATTTACAGCCGTGCAGGCCAAACACTGTGCAGGAGACCACCAGGGCTGCAAAGTGACAAGATTAATAAATGGCACCAGTATATCCATCAGTCTCCTTTTCTGTCTCACACACAGAGACAATAAAAAAAACCTTGCAAATGTCAGGAAATAACCCTGATTTAGGGACTGAAAACTGTGGTTCAGCTCAGAGCAACACTGTGTCATTACTTTGAAGGCTTCAATCTGCACAGTCAGGCTTGTTATCAGATGTGTTGCTTGCAGATAAAGTTTTGCCATCATCACAACACAACATGCACAACTACTGACACAGATTCCAGCTCTGCAGAGGATCACAGACCAAAAAAAAAAGATTAGGAAAAACTGGCGCTCACCATATTGTGCATGCAGGACATCTCTCGGACCAGCACTGGCACTCTGCTGCAGTTTTTGGATCTCGCTGGTTATGTAAAGAAACCAACTGCGCTTTTACGCGGCTCCGCAGGGGTATGTTTTCTCCAGGACTGTAGCGGACAGAGACGAGGCTGCTGGCGGCGTGCAGAGCGGAGCGGCGCAGACTGGGACCGTGTGTGTGTGTGTTTTCCCTCTCAGAGGTTTGAACAGCGGCGAGCGAAGAGGAAACACGAGAGGCAGGGAAACATGCGCCTGTCCCCTGGTAGCTGCACTGACACACTTAGGAGTGAGAGGAGGGACAGCGCCATCTACTGGCAGGATGAGTAGGTGCACTGCATTTAAAATAAAAACAAGCACTGAGGAGGAAAACATTAACTTTATTGAGCTGCAAAAACGGTCATCATTCTACTTTAGGTTTAACTTTGGGGTCATAGTGGTTGGTTAGTGGTGTACTGGACTGTAAAGTGTTCCTCATGGATGTTTAATGAAGAGGACAGAACCCTATGTGGCGGAGCTGTTGCATTGGATTGCATTAGATTTCACAAATGTACTAATAAAGCAGTCAGTGGGTTTTAACTTAAGGTGGTGGAAATCCATTCATTTCTGTTGTGCTTTGTGCTTGTTATGAACTTGAATTTGGCCTGAGCGCTACGTACCATTTAACAAACCAAACGTCGTCGAGCTCAGACTTTGTGTAATCCTGCCCCCTTGGTGCTGCTGCTTCCACATGAACCATTCAAAATGAACAGCTGCCTCTCACTTCACCAGGTTTATTTACTTCAAACAGCTGCTTCTGCTAACTCTAACCGACTGGATGTTTTGCTGTGGGCTGTAAGAGTGAACACAAGAGTATCCATGCACTCCCAGCATTTGAGAAATTGAAGACCTAGTAGATTTCTTATATTATCGATTGCCATATGTTTGCAAGGTGGATCAGTGGTTAGCACTGTTGCCTCGCAGCAAGAAGGTCGCTGGTTAGCGTCCCGGTTAGGACACCTGGGAGCTTTATGCGTGGAGTTCATATGTTCTCCCCGTGCAGCGTGGGTTCTCTCCGGGTTCTCGGGCTTCCTCCCACACAGTCCAAAAACATGCTGAGGTTAATTGGTGATTCTAAATTGTCCGTAGGTGTGAATGTGAGTGTGCTTTGTTGTCTCTAAGTGTAGCCCTGCGATAGACTGATGACCTGGCCTTCACCCGGAGTCGGCTGAGATAGGCTCCAGCCCCCTGCGACCCTAGTGAGGGTTAAGCGGTGTATAGATAATGGATAGGTGGACATGTTTGCACCTTGTGTGGCTAACCTGGTTGACTTTGCCAGTGGCTATGAGCATATTTCCACAGGTCAGAGTTTTGTAGCTGAGGGACTTTCAGTGATGGTGGAAACTGTAGGGCAAATTTAAATCAGTAAACAAGGACTGGGTGAGTTTTTGTGTTTTCATGTGGCTGGTTGTGCTTCAGTATAACTTAAGCTCAGCCTAAGTTAACTTAAACTCTTCACTTCTCTCCTGCTCCCTGCACTCACAAATACTGTATTTTAATAAAACCCAATAAAACTGCTTACAATAACACATTTTTGTTTCAGTTTCTTTTGTCTGACAAATACTGAGAAATGTATCCCATTGCTATATGGGAACGTTTTACATGTTCTTGTTTTTGAACAAAATATTGCTTAAAGAAAAATAAACCACATACCTCATGATTATCAATGGTTTATATATTTTTATATATTCATTTTTGACAGGGTCATGTGCAATCAGTGGTGGAAGACGATTTTAGATTCTTTACCCAAATAAAGGGTACAAAAGTAATAGCACCAAAATGTAGTTAAAGTATTAAAGTACTGGTTTGGTTTACCAGATTATTATATATGACATAATTAGATCATTAATACTGAAGCATCATTGCGTCGGCAACATGTAGCTGCTGCAGATTTAGCTAGTTTGCACTACTTCATTCACAGTTTTATATACAGGGATGAAAGATAAATCTGAAGGGTCATCAGTTTTCATTTTCTGGACTTTTCCTCGAATCCTTGGTTTTTGGCAAGATATTGAATCATTTGAATATTTATTTAAATAAAGAAATTTAAAGTGGGAAAACCATTAATAAGTGGAGCTGTTAACAACTCAGACATTTGAAATATGAACTTGACTTTTGGGAAGATGTCAGATGGCAGGAAGGTTGGAAAACACTGGTTTAACCTTTGAATGTGCTGTTTTTTTAAAAAAGTTTGCTATACAATTTGCTATATACAATTGTGTAAAATCTTCATGTTAAAGTAATGAAAACTGTCAGATGATGCAGTGGAGCAGAGTGTACATTATTTCCCTCTGAAATGCAGCTGTGTGGAGGTAAAAATTAATGGAATTATGTAAATATACTCAGTTACTTTTCACCTCTGTGCATAATCAGAAATGAATAGAAAAAGTCAGGCAACAATGTGTGTATATAAAACTTTTAATATACAAGCTTAAACAATTTACATACATTTATCTAAGCAACCAAACCTCTCTTATCTTTGTACTGTAGCTGTGTGCTTTCATCACTCATTGCTGCAAAATGAGAAGATGATGTTTTATTATGATTATGTAATAACATGTGACAGATAAAATGCTGGTTCTTATCACAATCCTTTGTCATGCCAGTGTCATCAAACCCGCTCATGGTTTCCTGGGTTTGGCTTTGGGCACCACTTTAATGTTGGTGGACACTGATTTGGCTCCTTGCAGGTTCTGGGCGGTGCAGGTGTAGGTTCCCTGGTCCACGTCTCTCACCTCGTCCACCAGGAGGACAGACTGAGACTGCTGCCGAGCTGCTCCTCCACCCACCGGACTGATGCCGTCCTGCGTGTACAGAGGCCTCCCGATCTGCAATCAGAACAACAACTCAATTAGAACATGAGGAATGTTAGTAGTAAGCCCTCCAGTTTACTGCTTATGTGCTGGTAAGTCATTAATGTTAGTTTAAGATACAGACAGTCCATAGGTTGAATGCTTTAATAACAAACTAGCCAGAAAGAAAGCTGTCATCGCTGATGATGTTTGCCAATGACAAGGATCTTCTCTCAGCTTTTCAGTTCACAACCTGAAATGCATGATCTCAGTGCTTCAAAACAGCTTTTCACTGCACGCATTCAAAGGTAATTTAGTAACACAATAAAAATCACAAGAGATTAAGACTTCTATTAAAGTAATAAAGCAAAAATGTTTGATTTTCTCCTCTTATCATGAGTGTCTGACCTCCTGTCCAGGGTATTCCCAGGTGAACTCTACCACCACGTCCTGCTCTCCCATCACAGTGCAGCTGACCCGCAGGTTTTCACCGACAGCCACCGAGCTCGATGAAGCCTGGATCACTGGAGCAGGAGGAGCCATCGGATCTGATGGCAAATGGGAGGTATCAGAGAGTAAACAGACAGTCATTTTATCGGATTTAACCATCTAGTGGTTCCTAACCTTTTATGTGTAATGTAGCTCTACAGGCCTGCCACTCCACCAATCCACATGTCAAGAGCATTATCCCTCTTTTCATTTTTCAACAAGAACATCTCTACAAGGACGTCCGAAATGTCTTGCAGTTTTGCTGGGCTTTTGTACGACAATAAAGGCTTTCTATTCCAGATGGACTAAAGAATCCCTTCATCAGCACCACCTCAATGTGTTCATCTGAAATCATTTATTTTAAATTGAATATTATTTAGCACTTATATAAAAGTGGATATTAATAAAATATTTGTATCCAGTTGAGCTGTCAGTGCTGTTGTCAGTTTAATCAGAGATTTTTATTTATTAGTTTCAACTATACATTTAACATACATCCACTACTTTAAGCCTTTAACAGTTTCAACTAATCGTTCATACTGTTAGAAAACAATTTTAACTGTTCGTAGTTGTTGAGTCACTTGGTTTGTTTAGTTTTGTTTTTTTGTGTTTTTTTCCCCCCCATATTTTTGCTAAATAAACTAATTATAACCTAATTATGGTTAGCTAACAACTCCATTTGTTTATCCATAGCCATATCCATTTTAGATTTTTTAGAATCTTTTAGGTAACCATTTTAACTGTCCATACTGTGGCCTAACAGAATAATATTTATTCTCAACTTTCTAAAGCTATTTGAATGTTTTTAGGTTCCATTTATTTATCCACAGCCTACTGTTAGCTCGCAATTTTAACTGTTAGCCATACTTGTAACCAACTATTTTAGCTGTTTATAAACTTTAAGGAGCAATTTCAACTGTTGAACCATATTGTTTGCTAACAGTTTCGACTGCTGGCCATGTTTTAATTAATAATATCCAAATGCTTATTTACAGTTTTATCGAGCTATTTGAACTGTTTGTTCATTATCATGAGCTAACAATTTTATCCATACTTCAATCTAGTTTTTTTCTATTGTGTTTACTTTTAGGTAACATTTTTAACTGTTAATCCAAACTGTGAGCTAACTAGCTGCTAGCCACATTTACACCAAATAATATCCATCTGTTAATTCAAAACTTTCTCAAGCTATTTAGACAGTTTTTATTAGAACTAGCTAACAATTACATTTGTTTATCTACAGCCTTCTGTTAACTATCAGTTTCTACTGTTTATCCATGTAATTAGCCAACAATTTGAAAGTGTTAGCTATACTTTTCGGTAGCTATTTTGATTGTTTATTCATTTTCATCATACATTTGAATCATTTATGTATTAAGAAAATTCTCACCTTTGCATGTGCTGCTGGTAAAATGTTTATAAAAAGGAAAAAGAGTAAGATTTGTATTTAACTTAGTAACTAAAATATAAAGTCTGAAAGAAGCCACAGTTTAAGATTTGGTCCTGAAGGAAGTTGAAATTAATGTAAAAGTTAAAGTGTATGTTGAAAAAATGATCTGAAGGTGTCTATTGAAGTGAAAGATAGTAAAGCTGCTTCAAGTATAAGTAAACAAGAAAAAATGTAAGTTGAAGTGTCAGCTGAAGTTTGAGCACTTGGAAGCATTTGGCGCAACAGTGGAAGCTACAAGAGTTAGAAGAATGTAAGGTTTTGTTAAATTTTCTCAAAGTTAAAGACTGGATACCTGGAAGAGTTTAACATGTCTTATGCTGTTTATTCTGCCAGTCAACTGACTCAAAATAATAGAAATACAGAAAAGTTGGAACAAGTTTGGCCAATGACTTGCTGACTATAGTGCGACCGTCTATATTTTCCAGCTCTATGTTAATTTGTTTGCTTGTCTGCTTTGTGTCTAATGCATGCTGGGGCAGACTAGACACCTGCATTAGGCAATACTCACAGTTAACATAGATGAGCATGTACTTGGTGGAGCTCTGCCTCAGGGTGCCCAGACTGGCCACGCAGTACAAGGCTCCAGCGTGATAAGGCCGGGGTCGATGGATGGTGAAGCCCTTCTTGACGTTAAAGGAGATCTCCGTCCCGTCCACTGCCACCTCCACTGGTGGGTACTCACGGTGCAGAGTCACTTTAGCCTCCGGCGACGTCACCTGGCAGGGAAGGACCGTCGGCCAGTTGGTTCTCAGCTGGATCACCTCGTAGTAGTCGGAAGACGGGACAAAGAGTTCCTGTGGGTCTGTTTGGTACAGCAAAGCAGGCTGATGTTGGGATTATGTGGGTGTGAGAAGGATTCCTATAAAGCAGGTTGTGTAACAAGGCCTGCAGTTCTGAAAAGTGCATGTGTAAGCATCAGGAAAGTTCATTCATCATACCGGGAAAGAAGACAAAGACTTTGACAGCTTTATTATACTCCTTCCTGCAGTCTGTGTCTTCACAGTACATTGGGTAACAGGTGTACTCCCCCGTGTCTGCACCAGTGGTGTTGACTAATGTCAGAGTGCCGTATCGCTCGTGTTGGACAATCCTGCAAAGCCAAAACAGAAGAAGAAGAAACATGCAGACACTCCAACAGATGTCATCATTTGAACTCTAAAGTGTGCAATAAAGATTTATGGACAGTACCTGAGCCTTCCATCGTCATCCTCCTCCAGGTAGGGAGGGACGCTCCACTGCACAGGTTTACCTCTACACCTCAGCTCCAGAGTGTCTCCTGTCTGCACACTGATGGTCTCTCCCACCTTCTTAAACTTACCTCTGTTGAGCACCTTTGTGTGTCACATACAAAATTATAATCACATTTTTTAGGAAACCACAACACAATCATGTGTATTCCCATGTCAATGGACGTAGTACCTGCGTGAGGAGGGTCTGTGCCTCGGCTGCAGGTGTCGCTTTGCTCTTGGGTTTGGCTGTCACAGCTCTGGGCCCTTTCTTTGTTGACTTCCCCAGTTTTGGTTTGCTTGGCTTTAGTGTCCTCCCTTGAGTGGCCCTCTGTTCTTGTGCATCTTTTTGTCAATAACACGATGTACAGAGGACATAGTGCATCAGCAGTGTGCAAATATAGATAAGATTGATGCATGTTGTATCTTTTTTTTTTTTTTTATCAGATGGCACCTTGTAGACTGAGTCACGTCTCGCGCAAGGCTGAGAGGAATTTTCCCCTCTTGGTAGGAACACATGTTCACAGAGCTGCACGGCGAACAGGGAACAAAGTGACTCACCTAACTCGAAGATTACGGCGCAAATGAAGAGAGCGCTCAGCACCAGCCTCCACTTCGATCCAGACTCCAAAGGCATGATTGATCAGTGGATTATTAAAGTGCTGTGAGGATTGTTAGTTCAGGCAGTTCAACACAGTGTAGAAACCAAAAGGAGGGAAGGCGAAAGAGAAGAGAAGAGGAGGGCAGAGCTTGCAAAGTCAGCTGTTTACCAGAATCACGCAAATTCCTCCTCCTGAGAGCGGCCTTAGTACCCCAAATTCCTCCTGAGTGGCTCAATGGAGGCTTTTGAAGCCTGTCCGGACCAATGAGGGTCCAGAGACTGAGGCCCCTCCATCTGGAATCGCACAGCCTGTTTGCTTAGCTGCTGGACTGGAAGTGTGTTAGCAGCATGAGTCTGATCCTCAGGAACACTGCCCAGACCAGCGCTGTGGCAAAGTTATTAAAAGCATTTGGTGCCCAGTAAACCATGTGTCCTACATAAACTAACTGTCTCTACGGGGGTAGATCAAAACACAGACTTGACCAGCTTGAGAACAATATATAAAGCACAAAATCATACGTGAAAAGTAGCGTTGAACTTATTTATCTGTGTCTGTTTATTGTATGTGATGTAATTCATCCAGTGGACTGTAGGTGCTTTGAAACACTGGCATAATTACTGGGATTTATTGGGAAACAAAACTGTCCAACATTATCTTTTAATGTGAAATTCCATTAAATTAATTCATTTTTTTTTAAAGAGAACAACAATCTGCAGTACGGATTGTTAAGTCGTCCGAGAAAAACACGACAATATCTCTGTGATGACATATTTCCAAACAAGATATGCATTTTTGATTAAATTCATAACATGCTGTTCCCAGTGGGAACAATGTAAACCTTTCCCTCTGAGTGACTAGCTAAGCCGTGATTTTGAACATGACACAGATAAGCTGCCTTGAAAGGTCCTTTTGTTCTCGGTGCACTCTGGGTAGTGAACCATCTCTGGCCCTTGATGCAATATTACAGGTGGAATTGGACTTCTTTATTATTTTATTAACTTCAAATCAACATGCGCTGATAAAGAACAAAGTAACTCCAGATTGTATCCATGTGGAAAACGTGATTATTTCTCTTTAATTAGGTCATACATTAACAGTAATATAATTAGCAAACACGTACAGTTTCCATATTTACACTTGGGGATAAGAAAACCATCATTACAGCTGACTTTGAAAAGGTTACCAACACAAAAACATGACATTCCACAAAAGGCTTTCTGTATCTACATTGTGCAACTTCTTCAGTCTAATTCTATAAATTGATACGTAAGAAAATAAAATTAGATTATTTGGATTCATTATCAAAATTGTATGAAGTTGAAATTCATTTTTAAACTTACAAATGACGTGAAAAGTATAAACATGTTATTTCAGTGTAATAAAATGTGAATTGTCTGCTTTTTTCCTTTGCATTTTTAAAAGATTTCAATAGGAACTTGAATAGGAAAATTAAAGGCTCCTGGAGACGCTGCTGACATTGATACTGGCACCAAATGAAGGTCAATATGATTAATAATGAGCACAGAGTGACGTTTAAATGTGTGCTCCCCCATATCTAATTATTATTTTTTATACAAAATGGCTTTAGGAAATACTAATTCCCTGTTTGAACACCTTAAAGGTCCAATGATTTGCAACATTTTAATGTTTCAGTGTTGACAATAACAATTTTTAAAAACATAGCAGACTCTGTTAAGATGCAATAAAGTGTCAGTGTGGAACAAAAGATGAGTTAACCCATCTGCCCATTTTGTCTGTGCACAGACCAGCACTGGTGTGGTATATTTAAATTAGTTACTCACTGTAACATCTAATTTTTTTAAGGTCTTCACGCGACTTGAGCTCAGAATTTCTCTTCGCAGATGATCTTGTCTGTTTTGCCGCTGACTGTCGCGACTGTCATCTCGTTGACCCTGACACGCTTTCTCTGAACACTAAAATGCATTCCGTAGCCAAAATAGATAACTAGCCCTGCAGAGAGAAGAGGAAGACGAGTCATTATAGTTCAGGAACGAGCAAAACTCTCTAAACCTTTTCAAGAAAAATCTGGGCTTACCGACTAACATCCAGATGGCGTATCGAAGCCACGTGTCTGCACCTAACTGCACCATCAGGTAGACATTGATGAAAGTGCTCACAATGGGCAGAGCAGGGAGTAAAGGTACCTAAGAAAAGAGATAACAGGGAGGTGATAAGTGTTTATTATTGATGATTATTCAAAATCCCTTGAACGGTCTGATAGTCTGTGAAATGCTCTCACCATAAACGACGCCTTGGTGGGATTTTGTGGGTGCCTCCAGATGAGGAAAACAGTGAGCAGCAGGATTACGCCAAAGATGCAGATAAGCACGATACTCCAGGCTTCCCCATTGGCCAGAGATTCTATGGCCAGAGCCAGGATGATGCACAGTACGACCACACATACAACTGCCGAGAAAGAGAAAAGATGAATGACAAAGATCCGTTTGTGGCAAAAGTCATGAACCTGTTGCAGGTCATGAAAAGTAGCTTCGGACACAACTGAGAAGAATCTTCTCCTAACTTACCAGAGGTTACAGTCAAGATTGTGACAGTTCGTGAGGTGGAAGAGTTGGCAGTCGATGGAGGCTTCAAGATGCTGAACTTTGAGTTTGACTCTTTGATCTTAAGGTCTGTGTCTTCCTCAGATGAACCTGTCTGGTACCTAGATTACAGAGGAAATTAACATGTAACAAGCTAAGGTTTGCACAAAATTGTAAGGAAAGAGCTGCAGGAGACCAAACAAATAAATGTACCTCAGTATTAGGATGCATATGGCCACCAGTGTGTAAGCAAACAGAGTGCCGATGGACATCATTTCCACCAAGGCTTCCAGATCGAACAGCAGAGCCATGATGGCTAAAGATACAACAGACACAAGAGACAAAGAGTCACTTCAAGCCCAGAAAAGCCACACAGAAATCCCTGAACAGCTGAAACATCTGTACCTGCCACAACTCCAGATGATATGGTAGCTACAGCAGGACTTCCCTTGGCGGTGACTTGGGTTAAGGGTTGGAAAAGCAGCCCGTCTCTCGCCATGGCGAACAGGACTCGAGGCATTGGGAACATGGAGCCCAGCAGGCTGGAGACAAAAACATAAACAGAGTTAAACAACAGCAATGAAAAATGTGTGGAATCAATCCAGCACAACTTCTTATCAATTTAAGAAGTGGCTGATTGAAAGACTGATTAATCCCCATGGCATCTCTGAAACAAAAGTTTCTCGATCCCAAAACAAAACTGACATGTGGTCTGACTATGCAAGATCACATCTTGTCTGACAAACAAAACAAAACAAAACTTTCTTTTTCAGCCGTCTAATCTGAAGATACAGTGAAACTTCTGTTAGAAGTCTTAGTTGTGAATGTGAAGGCCGACAACATGATTAACTGAACTCACAACAATGTTTTTTGTCAGACACTTCCTCTTTGTAAGAAACAGCTGACCTTAATCTTCTTGGGCTACACTACTGTTGCTGTCAGGTGACCCGGGGTATTTGGCTTTAATGCTTTCCAAGTTCCGCGTAAAGCTGATATCAAGTAAATACTGTGGAGCATAGTTTGATAGTTACTCGAACTACAGAAGATATTAAAATTAGAGCCAAATGTTCCACTGAGATGTTTGACTACAGTGCTGTCTTTTGAAACCTTTCTGAAATAGTATGTGTTGGACTCTTGCTGTGTTTTGACAAATGGTTTGAGAAGAAGATGCGTTTGTTTAATAAAGCTAAATCGCTACATGTTTGCACGCTTCTTGCATGAGTAAAACATTTGGACAAGCTGAGTCAGTGAGCATCAGATACTTATGGTATGCTACCAGCTACCAAAAACTGTAAGCATTTAATAGTATTCTTATTTAAAAGCCATAGCAGCTTGGTTAGGCACTAAAGGGCTTTGAGCTTAAAGCTAGGGTAGGCAGTATTTTTGGGGGGGTTTATTTGGCTTTATTGGACATAAATCCCATAATATACCATCAAATTATATATTTCAAGACATCTGAGAGGAAGCTAAACTTCTGAACCTCCTCCTGGCTCTGTTTTCAGGCTTCAGAAATTCTAACCCAGCTCTTGTCAGAAGTAAGGTGTTCTCTATGGACTGTTCTTCAAATGCACTTGCACATGCATGAGAACGTAAGAAAAGCTGCTATTCCAGCACTGGAACAACTGCCTACCCTGCAGAGTGACAACAACAAAGGAAAGTCTGAAAGAGAGTCTGACAATAAACAGGCATAGGTATCAGCGAAGCATACTCATAAAACTGGAGTTCAATCCAATAACTCTGATATCTCAAGCTCACCAATCACCTTTATGTCTTTCACCTATGATATCAGAATGTGTTGTAGGTGTTGGTTAGGTTGTGTCGGTTGGTTTACCTCAAAATAGTTTAGCCAAAAGCTCTCAGCTGCAGGCTATTTTAATTTCATATGTTGATGTTTGTGTTTACGACTTTTCCAGATATCTGCCTACTGCAGCTTTACTTTCTAACCTCATGTAACACCCAACCACCCTGCCAGCAGTCTCATACCTGGTTGACAGAGCGCACAGAGATCCCACAGCCACGGCGTATTTGGCGGGACCCCAGCCAACGTACTCAAAGGCGACAGGCAGGGGGCTTTTCTCACTGAGCATGTAGTAGGGCATCATGAGGGTGAGGGCGGCGGACACAGCAAAGTAGGCCAGGAAGCAGATCAGCAGCGAGGCCACGATGCCCACAGGGACGGACTTCTGGGGGTTCTTCACCTCCTCGCCTGCCAAGAAAGAAACAAAGAAGTCAGCAGGAGTTTGGGAAAAGCTGTCATCAAAGTATATGTGGCTTGAAGACAATCGCAACAATCCTCATTGGAATATAGAAAATTGAAGCTAAACTAAAGACTGGGATTAAGATAAAGAAAGGATTTCTGTAGAACGTTTAAAAAATAAAGCTATTGTAATATGAACATTGCTTGCATTGTATTCATCACGATATATTAGATAGATCTTTGAACTAGGGAAATTCAAGGTATCCAGTAGCTCACACATGTTACATTTAAGAAAAATAAGGAAACTAATGTGCAAAATATCAGGCAAAGTAACATGAAATTGTGCTGATGGAAGAAATAACTTGTAAAATCATGCATTTTACAATAAAAAAAAGAGAATTAAGATAATAATATGAAAATGTATTAGTTTTATTACACCATACAAGATGATTGTGATTACTAAACTGATGATTTACTCCTCTTACAAGGTGATACACCGTTATACTGTCCACCATTAGAATGAATTTAATTATGATTTAACTTTTTCCATTACACAGCACATGTAGTTCCTGAACCTGTTTTACTTTTTTGAACATAGTCTCAAAGTTGTGTAGTTTATATTTTCAATGTCTCGTTTGTAAATCCTTTGTGTTTTGTACTAACATTCTCAAATGAGACAAGCGGTCCTCCTACCTGTTGTGGCGATGCAGTCGAATCCAACGAAAGCGTAGAAGCAGGTTGCAGCTCCTGCCAGAGTTCCACCGAAGCCATAAGGGAAAAATCCTCCCACTCCGAAGTTGGCTGTTACATTTCCAGTGGAGCTCAGGTTTCTGCAGCGGGGGAGAAAGAGCATCACCTTGTAGTTATTTACAGTGAGATGACAACACTGCTGCATTTATGTAAGACAGGATCCTGCACACATACACACCCAGCCAGTGTTTGGTTTAATATATCTTCTTCGCTTAGTTGCCAGTTGGCGACGTCTCCCTTGATGAATCCGGAGATGATGACGAACACGAGCACCAGGATGTTGATCGCCGTGAAGATCTTGTTGATCATTGTCGACTCTTTTACTCCAAAAGCCAGCAGACCTTCAGGGAAAACGTTTTAAATCAAATTTTCTTGGAACTTTTTAGTGTCATCATTGTAATTTACAGAAACTGTAATTAGACTTTCCAATAATGTTCTGTGTTCCTGTGTTTATATTGTGTTGATACCGTAATCAACATCGATGGTAACTTTTTCTTTGTTTTGTTTATTGTTCGTGTCATTTTGTGTCCCATTTGTGTCATTTTTTGTCTTGCTTTTGTCGTTTTGTGATCTAGTTTTTGACGTTTTGTCTGTTGTTTTTGTGTCTCGTTTTGCTTTTGTGTCTAACTTGTGCTGCTGCCCCCGCGACCCGACCCCGGATAAGCGGAAGAGAATGGATGGATGGATGGATTTTTCTTTCATATGTTGCTTGTTTTTCTTTTGTGTCTTGTATACGTTGTTTCAAGTGTCTTTCTGTCCTTTTGTGTCATTTATGCCTTGCTTGAGTTGTTTTTTGTGGATTTGTGTCAAATCTTTTGTTCACTTCACACTGGGAATCAGTTTTTTCTTGTTCTTCTTGTTTTTTGGCTCAAGAAAAGCACCTGATTTTATCGTGTTTATCTGTATTTTGGAAAAAGTCCAGTCCTGTTAGACTTGGACCAGTAGTGTCCTTTATTACAGCGTATAGATGTTTCTGTTGTCACCAAGACAACAGCAACAGTTTTACCATCTTACCTGACAGAAGCAGGATGAGACCGGCAGCAAAGACGTCTGGGTAAGGCGCCAGGCCAGGGAGGCCCATGGACGCATTTTCTTCAAAGTATTTCGATATAACACCTCCGATGAGGTCATCAAACGTCCCGCTCCATGCCAGTGCAACGCTGGATGTCCCTAAACAAACAGAATACGATAGTACACGATATAACATGCAATAAACTAATCAGTCCATCGTTTAACTGCCATCATAAGCAGAAAGGACTGATGGGGACATTTCCGTCCTTGGGCCTTTCATTCTTTATCACACGGTGATTTGGAACCACTTTACGTGGTCATAAAGATGTATCTAATAATCCGTGTATAAATGGAAAACAAGACTTCAAGTGGAAAGGCGATATGACTGGACTCGCCAACTTTTACTCTAAGCGTCATTAAAATCTCCGGCAGGCGAAAGGTCAGAGAGCGATGTTAAAGACTCTTCTGCTAATGGTTGATCATTTATGGCTTTCTGTGCGTTCTGTGAGTAAGCATGTTACATAAAAGGAAAATCAACAGTTTTTCACAAGAGGACGATGGGAATGAAAATGACAGGTTCAAAAATGAACTTGATACATTTCCTATACATTTCAGTCACATATGAGCATTGATTCAACAAAATAACAATAAAAGGGGGCTTTTTCTATCAAACTAACACATAATAATGTATTGTAACTGATCACACTTGCCTATGACGTAGGAAAGAAGCAGATTCCATCCAGTAATAAAAGCCAGCAGCTCTCCGATAGTCACATAGCTGTAAAGGTATGCCGAGCCTGTTTTGGGAACCCGTGACCCAAACTCTGCATAGCACAGGCCAGCAAATATGGAAGCCAGGGCGGCGATGAAGAAAGAAATGATGATGCTGGGTCCTGCAGTGTCTCTGGCCACCTCTCCGGAGAGGACGTAGACTCCGGCTCCCAGGGTGCTGCCCACGCCGAGGGCCACCAGGTCCAAGGTGGTCAGGCATCGGTTAAAGGTGGACTGCTCCCCCTCGGGCTCCAGGGGCTTCCTCCGAGACAGGCTCCCCAGAAACCACTTCAACGGGCCGCACGACATGTTTTCTAAAAGGGTTTGGATCCGAGGGGAAAGATGAGGGAAGTGTATATGAAGGGACAGGTGGGAGTGCAGGTTGATGTCGTTGAGAAAGAGGAGAGAGGGCGAGGGGAGAGGAGAGGCGGAAGGAAGGGCAGATTGGTGAATAATTGTCAGATCAGCCCCACCGAGGAGCACTTTCTGAAGAAACACTATCATCAGTATCGACTTTTATTACAATAGCAGCCTGTTGTTTTAAAAAAGTTTACTCTAAAAGCTACTGTACTTAAATCTGAGCCATCAAACAACACATTTAAACTATAAAAAATAGGGTGGAGGGGGGAAAAAAATCAGTTTTGTTAAAGCATAACAGCCTTCACATGACATCCTCTAATAGTTGATAGAACGTTAAAGAAACAACCATCCACTCACCGCTTCAGTGTAATTTCCTGACTCACAGGTGCGCTTTGAAGAGACAATTAATAGACTCCGTCAGTCGTCTAAATCACATTATTCTTTTATACGTGCCCTCCTTTATCAGTCTCCTGATATCAAAGTGCTGATGCCTGAAGTTTTCAATGCCGCCCACTGCGCAGGAAAAAAAAAAAAACACACAACAACGCCCTGCTCCGGGTCTGCACTTTACTCAGCCTTTACCCACTCACACAATTATGTCCTTAAATATTTCAGATGATTACAGAAGATGGGGTAAAAAGAAATAAATATGTATGTATTTGTCTTTTACAATGTGTGTTCTCACCTCAGCAGTGCGGTATCATATCAGAGATAAAGTCAACTCTCACTTTGGATCAATCAAATGCTGGGAAAAAAATAAACAAATTAAAAGCTCACTTAAAAATGAAAATGCAACCTTTAGTCATTCTTGATTTTGTCTTTGACTCTTCAGCAGACAAACTTTGATAATCTTTTCATGATTATTTCTATCTATAACTTTGGAGTCTGTCCTTCACAAAAAACAGTGAAAATGAAGCATCTGAATGTGACAACTGTAGGAACTGACACAAGCTACAAACTACACTCTTGATATTTCCAGGAACCGTGGAGTAGGAAGTCACTTGAAAATGGAAATATCCTGAAAGCTACACTGTGTTTACATGTCGCTGTTGCTGTGACCTTATCACTGCAGCTTTGTTGGAGTTTTCCTGCCTCCCTATAGGAGCCGGGCCTCCATCTCTACCTCAAGGTGTGAGCCTGCCAGACTAATGGCCCCGCGAGTGAATGAAACAGAGGAGGACAAAGCAGCTTTCATGGCTTATACATGCAGCGGGGCCTGTACACTTACTCTGTGAGAGGTAGCATTCACCTTCTCATCTCCCATCAGGGGATTTCGGCTTCCTAATCCCTCCTGGCATCTACTTCAGCGGGCGGGAGTCGAGCGGGAAGGCGAGCCTGTGTGGACGGTCAAAGTACCTCTGAACAAACTTTAAGCTCAGGCTTCCTATCTGCACATCTCTGCAGCTGAGATACCATTTAATTTCCAGAAGGACAATGGGGGTAATGCTTAACTAAGCAGCAGCTACTACACACGTGTTGTGGAGCTTTATGACCGCAAAAGAGCTCAGTTAATGTTCGTTAATGTGCTGTTTATTGCTGTCTGCTGTGCGTGCAACTCTCAGGTGTCTGTTTCAAAAAGCTACGAAGAATTCTCGAGGAGAAAAATGTCCTCGTCAGAAAAACTGTCACAGAAATATTATATATGACTATTGTTTTCAACTTTCAGTGAGTTAGAATTGTATTTATTTATTTTACCTGATTATAATTATCAGATGTTGGGTCATTTTTATGATTTTAACCCTTCAGATGCCTGTTTGTTTGCATCATACCATCATTGTTTGCTTGTTTAAATGGAAAAAACACCCAGAATGATATTTTTTTCCCCATAAAATAAATGGTAAGTGGAATTAAAAAAAAAAAAAGAAAGAAAAAAGGTCAGTCTGGAACATGTCATTGATTTACAACAACACTGAGTCTCAAGTATCATCATTTTTTGAACACCGTCAGATTAAAAAAATAAAATAAAATCACACTTAAAGATGTTAAGGACAAAAAAAGTCCTCTTTAAAATGTCTGCCACTAAAATGTTAAATATTCATATTATTTTCCACTTTCCAAAAGCTAGATTGTTTAACCAACATCTGTAATGATTACAACTAAAAAAATATTCATTTTCAAAATTTTAACCCTTTAAATGCAAGATTGTTTATATACTGCAACAGTTGTTTTTTGGGGGAAAAATCTTTAAAAATATATATTTTTCCACATAATAAGGGACAAGAGGATTTATTTAGATTATCACAGTCTGAGCTATGTCAATGAGCAGCACAAACTGTGGTTTTGATGCATCTTTTATAGCAGTGTAAGATAAAATAAACAGCTGCAGCACCAGTTAAATGCATTGAAACGTCCTGATTTAAATCAAAGCAGAGGTCAGGGATTTGAACGGTCATTTTATTCAGTAGATACACAAGTTCCTTTACCTTGTCTTCAGTCCCACGAGGAGAAACTGGTGACTGAAACAGAGCAAGCAAACACAAATAATCCTCGCTGTTGACTTGGATGGAGGAAACATGATTTTTACGGCGATATATACAAGACCGGCCTGTGTGACCCTCCCACTCAATGGAATTACTTACAAAGTAGCCTTTCTCACTGCCGACCAGTTTGGATCATAATGTGCTCATTATTGCATGGAAGGCGCCGGGTGAGAGCTGTGAACAGCAAATCCTATTCAGAATGTGAAAAATGCTTTTGTGCTCGCTTCATTTGTTGTTTTGTTTTTACACCATAATTTCAGTTTTGTGAATTTGCAGGATGTATGTGGGGATTTTAGGGACTGCAACCTGCTTTCTAGGAAATTGCTTTGGGGAAAATTGAAGCACAGAGTCTCAAGATGCCTCCATTATTGTTAAAATTAAAGGTCACTGATTGCTGAGGTAAAAAAAACCCAACAAAAAACAGTGCTTAAATGAAAAAAAAGTATATATAGCTTTTTAAATCATGAATGCATTCAAAACTTTTATGATTTTTTAAATATTTCAACTTTTAAATATATAATAACATAATTTCTAGAATTCAGAAACTAATTTTGTGATCTTCAGCTTCAGAACTGAATGCGCACTTGTGGTTTTTCTCTCAACAGATGTACATTTTGCATTTTTGCCTGCAGTGTGCAGTGCATTTTCTAAGCAGAAGAGGTCAGTATACAACAAAGACACTTCATCGGCGCTTCCTCCCGCCTCCATCAGCGTTTACCTCATATGGCCTCGTCTCTCTTTCAGCACAGGTGGATGGAAAAACAAAGAGGGGGAACTGGATTAACGGAGAATTAAGTAATGAAGGAAAATTAGCAGAGCAAACATATTTCCTTCACCAGACCCGATGTGACTCAAACAGAAACATGAGTAAACGACATTATTCGTGTTTATACAGTGAATGGAGGTCAGATGATGTCAGGGAATTCACTGCTATTAACCACAAAGCAAAACGACAGCCAGTGACGCTGTTCAGTTTGATCTCAACATCCACTTTAAGGTTCACAGGAACGAAGTCAGAGACACAGAAAGACAAACAGAATCTTTACTGGTGAATCATGAAGCTTTTATTCTTTAAATAACAGAGTATAAAGCACAAATTTGACATATATATTTCCTACAATATTCCTTGAAACTCTTTTTACTTTACTGGAAGACAAGATGATCTCCTTCTCCTCTGTATCATTCTGTGCATTATATTACAATCTGTATGTGACTAAGATGCTTTATTGAATACATACAGGTGACAAATTAAAGGAAAAAGCTAGATGTGTTTTCTTTGCAAGATTTGTGGCCACCAGAACTTCTTCAATGTGCCTTTGCATTGGTGCTGAAAGTCTCTGAAACTCTTTCGAAACAACGTTCTTACAAAAGAGTTTTAACATTTAGTGTTTTGATGATTGTGTTGCAGAGTGCTGAGATTCAAAGGCCAGACACCCAAATGAATTCCTTTGATTGGTCAAAAGCTTTCAGAGCTCTGAACAGAGCTCTTGACATGTACAAGTCAAATTTGCTCCACATCTCCCAGTACAAAATAATTCAGGTCTTTCGATTTTTGAGTGGAAATAAATAGCAATCTACCATGACTCATAGTGGCAGATTCATACGGTTTAGTTATTGACTTGTGTTTGTTGTGTTTGTGCGAAAAAAATATCCATTAAAAAAGGAATTTGTGAGAAAATATTCTACTACATGTACCTGAATTCACCCACTCATGTCCACATTTTGTCCACATTTTTTGACACAGGTGTGTGAATGTGTTCTGTATTCACAACATCTGCAGCAAAAATATGAGAGTATGAGTTTCTTCGTTTGGTGATTTGTAAAATAGGACTTATTATTTGCAGTGAAGAATTTGAGAACTGCTGTGTCATGCTTGTGGGAGAGAAAAGACAACTCGTTGGCAACTCCTACAGATCTTTTCTCTGTGACTTCATCTTTACTGACACATACGTGTAGCTAGCAACAAATTCCATTGTCACAAATGCTCAGTTGTTTGGCTCCAGTAACACCTCTACAAAAATCTCCCACTGATCTTCAGTTCACGTCATTTTCCATCAAAGTATTCTGTGAAGAGATCGTCACAGGAGAAAAGTGACCACTCATTTGCAGTGACTTCTCCTTTTGTATTGTTAAGTAAACCCAACCTATGACAGAAAAAATGCCTCCCACAGCATAAAAAAGTCACCTGGTCCCTTCACTGTATGGGTTCAAGGTTTGTCCTTTAATATGTCAGCCATCTGTATCGGACCAAGTATTGATTACATGAACATCCTTTAGTAGCTGCCAGTCAGGACGAAACATACTGAGTCATGCTTGTTCTGTCTGAGACCCTGGACTATCTGTGACACTCTGGACTTCCTGTAAGTCACCTCTTGTTTCTCATCCTCTCTTTCATCATCACCATAATATCACCATGAATGAATACAGTGAAAAACAAACTTTATAAAACATCTCAGATCATTTTTAACGCTGGAGCCTTTACTCTTATCAGTTAATTTCCTTCTGTACTGACATGTTTGCTCTCTCTCTCTCTCTCTCTCCCTCTCTCTCTCTCTCTCCCACTCCCCCCTGAGCTATGCTGGTGTCTCTCGCCCCCTCTTACTGGAATGGACTCCTGACAGGACAGAAATAGAGCAGCCAATGTCTCACATCAGTGCCAGCAACCTGCCCTCTGTTAAAATCCAACCAAAACTATAAGCTTAAAGTTCAGAAATGAAACCTCACAGCTGAAAGTTTGCCTGTGTCCAATGCTTTGAAATGCCTTTAATTATTAAATAGAGATTCATTCGCTGTGTGACTTGTCTGCAGAATAAGAAATACTCGAATGGAGGCTTGCCCTTTCCAAATGAAGACGTGCGTAAAAACAACCCACAAATGGCGCTATTTGGATTTTACGCATTTACATAGACAGAGCAGCGATGTATTTATAGCATTTTCTTTACCGTAAGACGTTTTCTGCTCTACATTCACACCCCCACGCACACACACACACGCACACACACACGCACACTTTGAAGAAGCTGCGTGAGAGAGCGCTGCAGTCGCTGCGTCACAGAAGACACGTAACGGTACGGCCTGAATCTGACCGGAGGGGAGGCACATAGACCGGGTAAGCGAGGACACAGAGGGAGACGGCAGGACCACTGGCCTTACTACCCAGCTCCGATACTCTCAGAGGAGGTAAGCTGCTTTCTGTTGTTTGGACGCTTCTTCTGTCCCGATCTGAGCCGGTAAAAAAAAAACACGAGTTCTCCCAGAGACTGCGTCAGGAATCCCCTGGAGAAGTTTGCTGATATGTCATTTTTAAATGTGTCTGCGACTTGTGTAGAAACACAGAACAGCTGGAATTAAAATGAGTGTATTTACAGCTTCACCTATAAGGGGAATGTATTGATTTAAAGTTGAAATGAGGAAAAAAACAGATTTGATTTAAGTTTATTCCACAGTGTGGGGTACAGAGAAGGGTGTGGCTCTGTCTATATAGAGAGGCCCAGTCTCCCCCCACCCAGACCTTGATTCTGACATTAAGTTAAACTGTTGGGGCTATTTTTGGGAGAGCTTCACTTCTGACTAAACCAAACAGTGCAGCAGAATCAAAACCTGAAGGGAGTTCCTTTTTCTCCGCAGAAAAAACTGAATGAGTTTATCAAACATTTGTAATGTGAGCTTGTAAATATAAACCCATTAGAATCTTGTGCTGTGATTCCAAATTCATGAAGGAGAAAGTTGGCAGAACTTTTCCTCTGCAGCAGCCCCCATAAGTCGTCTGAATGGCTGCATTATAGGTTAGCAGAACGGAAAATGTGACTAAATACTTTCCCCGGACAGCCAGATTAATGCAAATTCCATCCACTTATGCGCCATATAAGGTGAATGTGAGGTCAAGCCTGCAGAAAATAGCCTCCCTGTTTCCTTTGTGGTGCTATATTCTTGCTCAGAATTCTAGTAGGTGTAGCAAACAGCTTCAAGCAGCCCACTGAACAGACAACCTCTTGTCTCTGCGACATAATTTCCCCGCATGGTCGAGGGGAATGACACCTTTAATAGCGCAGGGATGATTTGCATCGCTGCTGTCCAGTCCTGCCTCAGCGTTTTTCTCTCTCTCTCTCTCTCTCCTCAGGCCTGAAACTATTGATTCCTGAGCAGTGTTGACACGGAAGACCAAACATAGTCATGGTAAGTAGACAGGACCTCTGCCGTCCTGCATTATGTAAGTACGGTGGGGACTATATCAAACTGCTCTGCAGATCTTGTGTCATGTGTGACAGCGGCGGTTTTGTGTGCCACATGAATGAGGTGTGGATAGAGTGAGGTCATCTGCTGCCACCTGCCACCACGAGAGCCTCGGCATCATAAAGGCAGCAGTGTAGGGTGTCATAGCGACCTGTGGCGCCTGCACATCTGATAGACACACCTGACCGCATCTTTTCAAAGTCACTGCTTTGTCGGATTGTTTCCGACTGGTGGCGGGCGTTCAACTTTATCTCGGCCTTGCTTGAGGGGGAAACACACACTTAGTCTTAATTATAACTCTGTGCAGTTGAAATCTTGGCTAGAAACAAGCCACACTTAGTGGGATGGGATTGTGTGGCCCAATAGCTCATGATGTTAAATTCGCTTTAGGGCCCGAACAAAAGAAATGTGGTTAGTTTAGTTAATAGCTTGTTGCTAGGGGCTTGTGTTTGTGGTGCTGTTGCTACGTGGGCGAAGCTCTCCAGCTGTCGTAAAGAATGATAGTTGTGTTGAGAAGCGGTGATCTGAGCATGTGCTGTGGGCCCTCAGATGGGTGGAGTGTACTTTCTGGCTGACAGCCTCACTGCAGCAATAATCTATATGGCAGCTGCTGCAGTTTGAGGTTTGCCATACCTGTTTTATTTCTCACAGTTAGTGCGCTGATATCATCACAACATCATGCAGCAGGGCCAGATGATATGACTATGTTTATTTATTGTGAACAGAGCCTTATATGGAGATGTGTTCTCTGATATTTTTCATTGTGTTTGAACTATTGTATGTCAGACCCCTGCAAAGCGAGGCGAGTTGCTGTGTGTGCAATCTGACTCCCTGAAACACACACACACACACAATCCCACCCCTACACACACACACACACACACACACACACACACAGCAGGCTTTACTCTGATCCGTTAGGTTCAAACAGGTGCAAGAAGTCAGCTGCTGTATTGGCAGACTTGAATGCTCCTCCAGTCCCAGAGTCCCGTCGCTGCCACTTTAACTCACTATCAAACTGTACAAGGAAGTGTGCGTGTCGAGCTAATGCATTGTGGGATATGAAGTGCAAACTTGTGATCCTGCAAAAGCAAAATGTGTTGTAACTCCTCACCTTTTGACCTTTGGACGGGAAGGTTCACATCCATTCTGTTTCTCACCTTTAAAAGATATCTGGGTTGAGGTGAGCAGCAAAAGTTGTTGCAATTTTAAAGTAACAAACACTGAACGGACCCAGTCAGGGGCCTGTTTCTTGATATTTGCAACACGCAAGCAGTGATTTGCAGCACAAAATCATTGTCTCCCAAGGTAATCTTGGTGCATTGAACAAATCAAAGGAAACACCATGCTGAAGCACATAGCATGTTCAGAATCTTGGTACAGTGTGTTTGCATGCTATTGTGTGCTAATTATTTTGTACAGAAATGCACAAAAGTCCAGCAGAAGTTAATGGGAATGCATTAAATTTGACAGGAATGCAGAAAGAAAAGTATTCACTAGAGTTGCTGCAAGTCATCAAAAGAGATCAGATGTCAGAACGAAACAGAATGTCAGCATCATGCAGGGACGAGAGGAAAAGTCTCAGCTTTATCCTCTGAGGACCATGGATGTCTGTAACAAATCACATGGCAGTTAACTGTATTGCCATCCCAAGAGCTAAACTGCTAGCAGGAAAACAATACAGTGCGTTTGTGTGATACTAGAAATGATAGACCTTCATAGTTTCTCCTTAGTGTCTTTTCTTTGTTTTTTATAACTTTTTAGCTGTTACGATTGTTGCTCTCGCTTTCAGGCTTCCCTGACATACAGCTCGTAGCCTCACCTCACCTCAGTAGCCACAATCCAGCTGGTCACTGCCATCACCAGTATGTCACACCCCCAGAGTTAACACTCATCCCCCTCCACATACCAGTAAATCCTAATTCAGATGTAGGCTACTGTGTACAAAGAGCTGTGGATTGAGAAATAACATTTGAATGATTCTTTATTTGTAATTAAACTATGACAATGTTGTGTCAGAGTTTCAGATACATCATCACTGCACTCTTGAATCGAAAACGTTAAGCTGAACTATTCTTCTCACAGGTGTTCAGAGGCACAATAACAGATGCTCCGGACTTTGACGCCAGCGCTGACGCTGAGACCCTTTACAATGCTATGAAAGGCATCGGTGAGTCCCTCATTCCTGTGATTTTTTCCCACGGAGGTGTAAAGGTCCTCTTTCATTCTCCCATCTTGTCCGCTGAATTGCCACATAAAGAATTTGCTACAGCAGCAGTGACAGTCAAGCAGTCTGAGATCAGTTATAAGTCTGTAACTGAGATGTCAAAATCTGTTGCTTTGTGTTCCTCAGGCAGCGATAAAGAGGCCATCTTGGACCTGGTCACCTCTCGGAGCAATGCACAGAGGCAGGAAGTCATCGCAGCGTACAAATGCAGCTTTGGAAAGGTACACAAATGCATTTTTCACATTCCATTTCATACCACACTGTAACTTACTGAACTTTCAGGCTGTAGCTACTTTTATAAATTCATCATGCTTTTCCATCAGGACCTAATTGAGGATCTGAAATATGAGCTCACAGGAAAATTCGAGCGTCTCATTGTCAGTCTGATGAGAACTTCGGCCTACCATGACGCCAAAGAAATCCATGATGCGATCAAAGTAAGATGCTCACCTCACACTCAGGTCCTTTGCACACCGGTCATATTCAGCTGTTTCATATTTAACTTACTCTGTTTAAAAGGGCGCTGGAACAAATGAGAGATGCCTGATTGAAGTCCTGGCTTCCAGAAACAACGCACAGACAAACGATATGGTCGCAGCGTACAAGGATGGTAAGTTAAACGTCACTTTAAGAAAACAGATGACGTGCGAGCGTCTGGCGGCGTTTGACGGTGATGTCTGTGTCGACAGCTTACGGCAGCGACATAGAGGAGGACGTAATCGCCGACACTTCAGGTCACTTTAAGAAGATGCTGGTTGTTTTACTCCAGGTCAGTTCGCTGAGGAGTTGATGTTATCAGAAGTGAAGCATCCAGTCAACCACAACACTGACTGACCTGCAGGTGTTTTGTTTTTTTTTTTGGTTTGATGGTTTCAGGGGACCAGAGATGAGTCAGGAGTGGTGGATGCAGACCTGGTGGAGCAGGACGCACAGGTGGGTGAGAACCTGAACATTTTATGAGTAATAGACTTTATACAACATCCATTTTAAAAAGCCATTTTTTAGTGAATGTAAGTGAAAAAAACTCATCCAATGGGATGACTTTAAAAATATAGTTGTATGGCCTCATTTCAATATATTGAGCTTTGATAATGCAAAATATTATAAAACCAATCAAAGTATGTATCACAAAGTATAAAACCAAATAACGGGGATCCACAGCAAAACAAAATGCAAACTTCAGCACGCTCATGTACTAACAGACACAGAGCTAACATACTGACAGTGTGCAGCTTTGTAAGAACTACCTTAATTTAGCGTGCTAGCATGTTAAAGTTTTTTTTTTAATTAGGCTAAACAATAAATGCAGTTTTTGTTGATAGAAATTTTATTCTTTTTTGCAAGCATTCAAGTAGAGTGTAAATGTCTTTCTTGGCAGTTTTCCCAAAAATAGTGGAGATATTTCAGTAGTGGACAGAATTGTACTTATGATAAAATATTTACTGTGTATTGTAATATTTGCTTTTTTTTTTTTTTTGCTAAGGCTAACACAGCATGCTCTGGTTGCAGTGACAGACATGCTTGCTCAAAGGGAATCCAAAAATACCCACTTTTGATTATTAGGTTCTCTGTTTGAAATTTGTAAGGTCTCGAGATGACATCTGTTGTGACACTATATTAATAAAACTGAAATAAATTGAGACCTTGAATCTCGTCTGTCACGTGTAGTTTTCTTGTTATTCTGTCTTACGTTTAGTATGTTTCCTGTCCTCTGTGTAGGACCTGTATGCGGCCGGAGAGGAGCAGTGGGGGACCGACGAGGCCAAATTCATCATGATCCTGGGAAACCGCAGCGTCACCCACCTCCGCATGGGTGAGCACGTTCCTCAGGGAAATTAGCACAACAGTGAGACATTCGAGATATTTGTCATCTGTCTCTCAGGAGTAAATGCCACTTTTAAAGCTGAGTGTATTTGTGAAAAGTCCTCCCAGTAAAACTGAACTTCTAATAGATAAAGAGCATCACAGAACAGGAAGAAAAAAGGAAAATGTCACTTCTGATAAAGCTGCTTTGATAAAGAGTAGTCACTTTTGCAGCCTCAGCGAACACACTGACAGTTCAGTGGTGCTCACAATGACACAATGCTGATGTTCAGCTCTTTACAAGGTGAACCATCTACGTTTAGTCTGGTAGAAATGAAATAGGCAAAAAAGAGATTCATACAAATTTGAGATTATAAACAGTGTGATCTGTTTGTTTAGTTTTTGATGCGTACGAGAAGATTGCAGAGATGTCCATTGAGGACAGCATTAAGAACGAGCTCTCCGGAGACTTTGAGAGGCTGATGCTGGCTGTTGGTAAGAAAAACATTGAAAGCAGCAGTAAACAACAAAATACAGACTTGACAAGTTGTTTATTTGACCGACTGCTCTCTTCTGGAATTTTCTCACAGTCCAGTGCATAAGGAGTGTTCCCATGTTCTTTGCCAGGCGCCTGTACAAGTCAATGAAGGTAAACTTAAGTAGGCTTTCTATGGGGGGGATTATTGGAGTAAAAACTGTTTGGAAATATGTATGGAGAGTTGTGTGTCTGTATCTCAACCTGTGTGTCTGTAGTGAGATTTGTGAATGTTTAAAAAGATCTGCAAATGTGTACAAAGATATTAATCGATGAAAAGTCTAAGTATTTGGCTACAAGTGCTGGAAATACACACAGATCACCAGTTACAAGTCAAGCAGGCCTCACAATTGTCTTTATACACTTGACTTTTACTGCACTTCTGCCCTGAGAAATTCTGATCGGTCACACAGGGTTTATTTGCCCTGAGCTCAGGCTCACAGGCTTATTCATTACGGCTGCGTACCACTCTCCTGCTCTGGAACTCTGTAGTTATGCCACCTGCAAGCCATCAGGTGGCGCTATCCCTCAAAGTGTTTGAGGACAGGCAAACATTGTCTGGTATATGTGAACAAGTTAAATTTGCTGAATTTGTGGCTCGCTGAGCAAAAACTTTCATGATGGCTTGCAGGCAGCATAACTAGTGAGGTACAGAGCAGCAGATTGTGAGGCAGTAACTGGTGATTTGTCTGTATTTCCAGCACTTGTAGCCAAATACGTAGACTTTTCATCTTTTAATACCTTTGTGCTCGTTGACAAATCTTTTTACGCATCGACGAATCTTTTACGAACCTTTAACAAATCTTTTTACACATTCACAAATCTCACTGCAGACAAACAGATTGAGATGCAGACACACACCTCTCCACACACATCTACAGATAGTTTCACTATTATAATACCCCCATACTGTCAGTTTAATTCCATGCTATCTGATATCAGCACAAACACTATGACACATTTTTTCTTCTTTCTCTAGCTCAGATTGTTCAACTTTTAAAATTATATAAGAAATTTGTGATTGTTGCTGCATTGCTTCGCCCCTCAACACATCTGCTTCGTTTCCAGGGTCTCGGCACAGCTGACAACACTCTGATCCGGATCATGATTTCTCGTTCTGAAATCGACATGTTGGACATTCGGGAGTGCTTCCGTCTCAGATATGAGAAGTCACTTTACAACATGATAAAGGTTAGAAAAAAAGCATGTTTTATACACACTCATATATCATATACGATTGTCTATAACATGGCTGTGTGCATATTGTGTGCAATCCAGGATGATACATCAGGCGATTACAAGAGGACTCTGCTTAACCTGTGTGGAGGCGATGATGAGTAAGTTACAGCAGCAACCAGATGGGGGTGATAGAGCACAACTTTTCAGGAATTTTTGCTTTCTAAGGAAGTAAATACAGAAAAAGAGGTCTATTGCTTTAATCTGTAAAGCTTGTTGTCATAGTAATTGCGAAGAGACCATAAGTGACATTGATATTGTCGCAAAGTAAAGTGTATCAAAGAGTCTATTTTCTAACAGATTCCTCTTCCTAATAAATGTACAGACTGTCTAGAGCTTGAGGTTTTGGCTTTGCTGAATGTGCTGTGTTGTGTTGAACTGATCATTACAGCTTAGCTGGAGAGTTCTTCCCCGAAGCTGCTCAGATAGCCTACAAGATGTGGGAATTAAGTGCCATGACCAAAGTGCAGGTTTGGGCCTCATCTGCTCCCACTGTAGATGTGTCATTGCATGTCTGGCTTGGCAGTGCTTTGTGTCTCAGTTACCTGCTGGCCCTGCCATGATGTGCCACACATGGTGCTGATCCGATGCCATAACTGCACAGTGAAGCCTTTGTCTTGCTGTGGATATGATCAGAATGCTGAAGTACAAATAGTTTTTGTTTGCTATAATGCAGTTTCCACACTGGTGTGGTGAGTGCATTACAACACTGAGAGTGAATGTCAAAAAGATCTCAGCATTTTTGTCAACAAAGGGCTGTCTCACTAACGCTTCAAAAAACTGAGCTGTTTTTCTCCCTACCAACCTTTTCATTGTTGGTGGTGTCATGAATTCTAACCTCAAGAGGGCACCGCCCCCTCAAATGTCAGGAGATTATTATCATAAAACTTAGTGTGCTATTTCATTATTGTTATCAGCCAAAAAAATCTTTGAACAACAAACCATTGTATGGAAATTTGCATTTTGCATGCAGACTTCTTTGTGTTTGTTGCTTTAAGCTTACAGATCTGGTGTATTTAATTTAAAAGTAATTTCTGTGCATGATAGAACATCTCTCTTTGCCATTTCACATCATGTTTGTGTCACTGATTGTCATTCTTTTGTGATTTCTACTCCCTCAGCTAAGGCCCACAATCCGTCCTGCTTCTGACTTTGACCCTGCTGCTGATGCACAAGCGCTGAGAAAAGCTATGAAGGGATTCGGTATGCAGCCCAGAGAACTAAAGCACATTGACACGGCTTGTACAGCTTTTCAAAGCTCATGTTTTACAACAGTTTTTTACCTCTTTCCTGACCACAGGAACAGATGAAGATGCAATCATTGACATTGTTGCGCAAAGAAGCAACGCCCAGAGACAAGAGATCAGACAGGCCTTCAAGTCCCTACTGGGAAGGGTGAGAGAAGTGAATTGTTGAAAATAAATCTGAAATAAAGGCAGATGCAAGTTGGAACATACAGTATTTTTTTTTACCTTCATTCATTGCTAGATGCACGTCTTCCACTGAGTCTGACATGGGATTAGTCATTTCATGTTGCCTAACAACTCGCTGTCGTCTCTCAGGATCTGATGAAGGACCTGAAGTCTGAACTGTCAAAGAACTTGGAGAGGCTGATCATCGGGCTCATGCTGACCCCCGCTGAGTTTGACGCCAAAATGATGAGAAAGGCAATGGAGGTAATGTAGGAGTGGATCAAAAGCTCATCAGGATTGGATTTGTTTCTGAAGGGACACTCTGGGGTTCCCAAGTGAGCTGCTGGTACATTTATTTTATTTGTGCAGTAAAAACAAGGAAGCTCATGGGTCACGTTTATGCCTCTGTAAATGTACACCGATCAACCACAACATTACAACCGCTGACTGGTCACGTGAACATTTGTCCTCGTGTGACAATGCAAAGTTCTGCTGGTAAACTTTGGGTCTTGACAGAGCAAGCGGGCCTCTCCACAGCAATTGCACTCATTGACTGCAGCGAAAATGGCACAAGAAACCTGACCAAGAGCCTGAGGCGTTGGCCCAAGGGACCCGTGACACAGTGCCAGACATCACAGGAAATCCCAGAGGTCCAGAGTCCACGTCCCAAAGGGTCAGAACTGTTTTGGCAGCACAAGACAGGTGGTTTTAATGTTGTGGCTGATCAGTTCAAGGCTCTGACGGTTGATGTTAAGCACAGAGGGGTATCGTTGGTGCACACATGTCACGGTAGTCTCACAGAAAGAATCTACCATCAGATAAGTTTATATTTCCTTAGACAGCAAACCTGATTCTGAAGAGACAACAGTAACTTGCAAAGTAGTGATTTTGAAGCGGTCGAATTTTAAAATGTGCTTTTTTGAACGCATACAGTGAAATCAGGTTGATACAAGAAGTAAGTTATGACTCCTGTTTGCTGCATTTCTAAGTTTTGACAGATCTGATATGCCATTTAGACTTATAGCTTAAATGAATCATTCAGTTTGACCTTTTATATTTCATGAATTCAGTTCAGATTAATTCGATTCAGTTTAGTTTAATTTAATTAAATTTGATTGATTTCAATTTAATTCAGCTTCCTTGACAGAGGCCAGTTTACAACTTCTGTCACCTCTGGGTTTTTCACATAGCAAGGCGAAGACAACATTTATAAGGACAAGCCCAATAAATCTGTAATTTCCTGTGGATTCCTTTTGAGCAGCACTTGGCAACAGTGGAAAAAAAAACTCCCCTTTACCAGGAAGGACAAAAAAATGCCCGGAAGAACCGGGCTCAGGGAGGGAGGCCGTCTGCCTTGACCGGCTGGGGTGAGGGTTAAGCGGAGAGAGAGAGAGAGAGAGAACAGGATAACAGATAGACGCCAGACAAACAATGCATAAAAGAACAAAAAACACTTCAGATCGGTGAGGCCAGTAACAGCTGATCAGAGACGTGTAGCTCCAGATCCAGAGATACCTGTAGAGAACTACGGGAGAGTAAAGACGCACAGTTAGTAGCATACAAAGGTGTCATATATTCGTATGAAGCGACAAATAGAGGAGAGGTGCTCAGTGCGCCATGGGAAGTCCCCCAGCAGATAGGCCTACAGCAGCAGAACTAAGTAAACACCACGTTAGCATAGAGAGAGCCTCCTCAACGTGAATAAATGGTTTGCAAATAGTAAATGATCTGCACCTTTTTGACCTTAGGTAGCTTCTAGAAAATGCTGTCCAATGTCTTTGTCTTTCCCGCATTCATAAACCACACGAGAGCAACTCTGGGTTCAGTTTCTGCAGGTTGTGATCAGTAGACAACCTGCTGTACCACCTGAGCAACTCTTTCTTGATTCACAGGTTATAAACAATAGTTGCCAAAATATTAAAACGTGGCCACTGTCAGCTCATTATTGAGGAGGTGCAGCTCACATGCACTGTTTTCACATGTGTGTGGTGCAGTTCTTGTTTATCTGGATTCATTTTTGGCTGGACTTTTGTGCTCTTTTATTTCAGGGAGCCGGGACGGACGAGCACGCTCTGATCGAGATCCTGGTTACCAGGAGCAACGAGGAAATTCAAGCCATGAATGCTGCCTATCAGGACGGTGAGTCTGATAACAAAACATGGCTTTGAAATCCATTTCTTCTCCTGGTGCATTTAATTGATCACATACCCACACGTTACAGCCTATAAGAAGTCTCTGGAGGAAGCCGTTCAGTCAGACACATCAGGCCACTTCTGTCGCATCCTTGTCTCTCTCGTGCAGGTAAACGTTCATCACCATGAGAACTTAGTCTGTGTTTAATTTCCACGCCCACTCACTGGTTGCAGTCTGGTTTGTGCTCTTTGCTGACTGTAGAAGAGAAAGCCTTGTTTAATCACCTTCATAACGTTTTTAAAGAACAAAAACATGCTGCTGGTTAACCACTGACCTATTATAGAATAGAATTTACATTTAACTGTCTTTGCTGAGTCCAGGGTGCGAGAGAGGAGGGTCCTGCAGACGTGGAAAGAGCTGATGCAGACGCTCAGGTGATTCAGTGTGTTCTGCACCATATTAAAGTGTATAAATGTGAATAGAAAGATGAATTTAAATCTTTGTCCTTCCTGAACTCATCAGGAACTTGCCGATGCGTGCAATGCAGATTCTGACGACATGGAGATGAAGTTCATGAGCATTCTGTGCACAAGGAGCTTCCCCCATCTCAGAAGAGGTAAAGGTTTAAACAGATCAGCGTGTTGACAAATCAAGGTGTTTGCTACTTTACCTTCCCAACAACAAAGTGGATGGTGATCTTTATCGTTCACAGTATTCCAGGAGTTTGTCAGATGCAGCAACAAGGACATCGAACAGATTATCAAGAAGGAAATGTCTGGAGATGTGAAAAACGCCTTTTATGCGATAGGTAATGACTGTCTCTGACCTGAAGCGTCATTATAGTTTACTTTAAAGTTTGTCACAGTTGATGAGCCCTTTTCTTGTTCTGTCTTTGCTTTGCAGTTCGCAGTGTGAAGAACCAGCCCTCTTATTTTGCAGACCGTTTGTACAAAGCCATGAAGGTATTTTATCATAGTTTATGCAGTTCATTGGTTACTAGACCGAATTGTTAATACGGTCACATTGCTGGTGCATTCAGTACACATTGTATAACATATATTTTGTGTTCTTTTTGCAATAGCAGTCCCTAAATCAGAATAAACAAAGTATTCATTGATCTCCCCTGCAGGGTCTTGGTACAGACGACAGAGCGTTGATCCGAATCATGGTGTCCCGCAGTGAAGTTGACCTTTTCAACATTCGTAAAGAGTTCAAGGAGACGCATGACGATTCCCTTCATGAATTCATCCAGGTAGAAACTATGATCGTAAGTCAGAGTCTTTGTCAACTAACACTCTCGGTTGGTGTGTCGTGTTCTTATGTGACCTGTGTGTCTCTGTGCAGCTTCTTTTTTTTTTTTGTCTTGTTGCTGTGTGAGCGTGTGTTGCACATCCTTCTGCTGCTGCTGCGGTGGGGTGGCGGCGGCGGAGGGGTGCGTTTCTTCTATAGCTTTGTGCGGTGGACTATGGATCTGTGGCTACCGCACAGCTGTTTAGGAATTTCCCCTTGCATGCTTAACTTCCTCTCTATATCTGCCGTGTGATTGGCTGGATGCCCAGAGACAGGAAGTTCCTAAAAGCAGTTCTATAATAACTTACAGATGAAATTACCGTGACACCAATACGCACAAGCAAGTAGGGTGCCCTGGATTGGTTTTAGCAGAAATATTTTCAGATTATGCAACAGATGCAAGTATTGCTATATACTGTTTATTCTGAGGTGTGTATATAATTTTAAAAGGAAGAGTCTTATGTAAGTTTTTAGAGTTTAATTTAGCAAGACGGTGATTTTATTGGCATATTTTTAAAGAGATTTTGGAGTTGAGGAAATTAGGAAAAAAGCTTTGAGATTTGAGAAAAGTTTGGTTAATGATCTCATAAAATAGCTATTTGGACCAATATACACTTTTTTTTTTACTTGTAGCTGCCCTGAAGCAAAGAGATGATTAAAAAGATAAATAAGAATCTTAAAGAAGCATTTTAACATTTTAGGAAACATGTTTATTCACTTAATCCCCAGGCTACACTGTAAATCCACCTACCAGCACCTCTAAAGCTACCAGCAGCACATTTAGAGTTGCTGGTAAGTGGACTTTGTTAGATTAGTACAGGGTGGTTTCCCCTTGTTTCCAGTTCCATTATGTATTGTGATGCAGCATATCGGTGTTTCCGACTTTTTGGGTTATAAAAAACAGTAGTAAGGTGAAGACCTTAAAAAATTCTACACAGAGACTCAACAAGTCCAAAGTTTCCTTTGGATCCCCTTTGAACAACCGCTTGACACCAGTGCTTTTCATGTTTCATGAAACCAGAAGTTTACATACACTGTATAAAAGGACATAAAACCATTTTTTTCTAACCGTCTGACATTAAATCAGACTAAACCTTTCCTGTTTTAGGTCAGTTAGGATTACCAAATGATTTCTATTTGTTAAACGCCACAATAATGAGAGAGATATTATTTTTTTTTAGATATTTTGGACTACTTTCTTCAAAGTCAGAAGTTTACATTCACTAAGATGCCTTCAAACTATTTGGGAAAGCCCAGATGATGATGTCATGGCTTTGGAAGCTTTTGATAGGTTCATTGACAACATTTGAGTAAATTGGAGGCACACCTGTGATTTAATTTTAAGGCACACCTCAAACACACTGCTTCCTTTTGTGACAACATGGAAAATCAGCCAAGATATCAGGAAGAGAATTGTGGACCTCCACAAGTCTGGTTCCTCCTTGGGTACAATGTCCAGATGCCTGAAGGTCCCACATTCATCTGTTCAAACAATTACTCACAAGTATAAACATCATGGAAATGTCCAGCCATCATAGCGCTCATGAACGACACGGGTTCTGTGTCCCAGAGATGATGTGTTTTGGTGTGAAATGTGTGAATCAACCCCAGAACAAAAGCACAAGACCTTGTGAAGATGCTGCTGAAGCTGGTAAGAGAGCGTCATTATCCACAGTGGAACCAGTCCTGTACCGACATGGGCTGAAAAGACCTTCATTTCTGGAGACATGTCCTGTGATCTGATGAAACTAAAATTGAACTGTTTGGCCATAATGACCATCGTTACATTTGGAGAAAAAAGGGGGAAGCTTGCAAACCTAAGAAGGACCTGAGGGACTGGTGCACTTCACAAAATAAATGGCATCATGACGGAAGAACATTGTGTGGAAATATTGAAGCAACATCTCAAGACATCAGCCAGGAAGTTAAAGCTTGGGCACAAATGGGTCTTCCCAATGGACAATGACCCTAAGCATACCGCCAAATTAGTTACAAAGAGGCTTGAGGACAACAAAGTCAATGTTTTGGAGTGGCCATCACAAAGCCCTGATCTCAGTGCTGTAGAAAATTGGTGGGCAGAGCTGAAAAGGCGTGTGCAAACCTGACTCAGTTCCACCAATTCTGTCAGGAGGAATGGACCAGAATTCAACCTATTGTGAAAAGCTTGTGGAAGGAAACCCAAAATATTTGACACAAGTCATACAGTTTAAAGGCAATGCTACCAAACACTAATACATGTATGCAAACCTTTGACTTTTAAGAAAGAATAAAAACATTTCTAATAATTCTCTCTCTCATTATTCTGGCGTTTAGCAAATAGAAATAATTTTGGTAATCCTAACTGACCTAAACCAGGAAAAGCTAAGTCTCGTTTAATGTCAGACAGTGAGAAAAAAAAGGTTATTTATCTTTTTATACAGTGTAAGTAAACTTCTGGTACATTCACCGTTGCCCATAAAGTTGGAATAATTTTTGTTTTTAGACACATTATTCTTTTTATTTCTATTTCTACACATCAGTAATCACTTTTTATTAGGTGCAATGATTACATACTGAGGCCCGGTTACTCAGGTGAAACAAATTCTGACTTTGGGATCTGACTGAGGAGTGGGACGTGCTGCCCATTGACACCATCAACAAGCTCGTGGACAGTATGCCACAAAGTCTAAACACATTGATCTGTGTCAGGGGTGGCCATACTCAATATTAGTGAGTGAGCGACATTTGAAAGAGTAATACTGGACATTCTTATGCATGAAATGCCCTTGAATATGTGTTTTCTGTTAAAGGCATCATGCTTGAAAATGTTAAACAAAATCCTTTGTCCCATTGTTCAACATCCCCAATTTTGTTTAAGCCTGAACACACAGTTTGCAAAAGTTAATAGTGGTTTGATTTTTTACTGTGATATGTATTGTATGTATGTTGTGAAATCAATGAAGTTTTGAGAAGATATACACTTTATCTATCTAGGATAAATCACATTGTCACAATCATTCCATTCAGAAGAGGTAAAAAAGAAAAAAGTATTCCAACTTTATGGGCAACAGTGTATCCATGTATGTATATATATGAAGAGTTAATTTGCAAAAACAGATAACTCCATCTTCACAAACCTTCAGAAAACCCACATTTCCATCATCTACCTGAGACAATATCAATCTAACTTAAGTTAACTCTTCATACTTTTTCATATATATATATGTGTGTGTGTGTGTGTGTGTATCATAATGCATTCTGACTGGAAACAAGAGGTAACAGCCTGTCCCTAAATATAAACACAAATAGGTGTAATTCCCAAAATGAGGAACTATTCCTTTAAGAAGATGTCGTCTTACATAATCGCAGTGATGATCATAAAGTAGAAATCTTTATGGGTGTCAGCTGACATAGAGGGTAATTCCACTTTTAACTCCTTTGTTCATTTCACGCCTTTTGTTCTGCAGTGCTGCTCCAGTGTGAGCCACAAATAAACCCTGCTTTCCAGTGTCAGCTCCGTGATGACCACATGTCAGCAGACATGACCAAGATGAAAACTGTATTTCCCATTAATTCAAGCTCCTGCTGTGTCTGTGTTTTCCGTCCGTCTTCAGGGCGATACCTCGGGAGACTACCGTAAAACCCTGCTGATTCTCTGCGGAGGGGAGGATTAAACCTGTTACGTCCCTGCAGATTTCTTCGCAGTCTCCAGTGACCACAAGTTCAAAGAGTGAAAGTGGTGGTGGTGGTGAATGTCTGTATCTGTTGTCAGTGTTCCCAACTGATGCCACTCCTCAGCCAAACCAAGTGACCTATGACCTCTCAGCCTTGCAAGCCAGTTTTCTGCTCTCATGTCTAATCTTCCTGTGTGGCAGGATGGTATGTTTCTTTTTTTTACAGTGTTACATGTAATAAGAAGATGTTCATGTTAGTGTAGAAAGGGGCTTCACGTGTACAGCGTATCTGAATCTAGTAGTGCCTTCAGACTGTAGGCCGTCCGGTGAGTACTGTGATTTTTAGGTGTCACATATACCTGAATAAAATAAGCTCAATCAAACTGTGTAGCCTTTTCTGTGTCTTCTCATATTTTATATACATTCGTTTTTGTTTATTGCATCTCAACAGACCACAAGTTCTCGTTCTGTACTTTTTTTTTTTTTTTTTTACTGTATGTGAAGTGGGTGGGTTCCTGGTTTGCATTGAGCAGGGCAATTAAATGATTAACTGTGTTGATACTGTCAATAGCACTGGGTTGAGCAAAATGGGAACTAGAATATTTAACATGAGGAAACTCCCACTCCACTTCAGTGCCTCTTCTGCTTAGCAAAAATACCCCAAAAGTGAGCTCATAAAGGTGAACCAATGTAAATAGAGGCTCTTCATGACAAAATACAAGCAAATTATTAAAAATAAATAAATAAAATATTGGATAGTAGCGAACAAATATCCTCAATCTGAACACATCAGACTCATATTCGCACTTCCAGGCATTTTGGTTCTTTATAATCAGAAGCACTGCAGAGTTACAACATGACTGAAGAGCTATTTATACACCAACACATTAAAATGAACAAAGGAAAATACGTAGTCGATGCTTTTCTGTATTAACATGTCACTTTACACCCCGTTTCTCGTGTGTCAGTTGCACTCGCACACTTGTTAATGCAGAAGAAGAGTGCAAGACAGCTGCCTCTGTTCTTGTTAGTGTCTCAGTTCACTGCGTATGTGTGAGCGCAGCTGTTGTCAGGCCATTTCGAGTTAAAAGAGGAAAGAAGAAAAAAGATGTATGTGGCGAGGAAATCCCCTGCAGTACGCCAAAATCCAAGGCAACAAATAAAGTCTGCAGCAGTCAGTCACACTGCTTTTAATGGCACACCCAACCTGAAATTGCTCTATTTGATGATAACTACAAGAGATTAAGAGATTACTTCAATAGCACTTTTGCTAATATCAACATATATACACTGTTCTTGAATTTCCCTGTTTATAGGTGGGGGAAGTTTTGGCCATGTTCAGCTTGTGCAACATGAATTACATAGATTGTAGTTTACATATTTCAAAGCTGCTGCGTCTTCAGAGAGAGTCGTGGGTTGCTTTAGCCTTTTTATCTACAGTCTCTATGACTGTTGTAGATGCTTCTCTGCATGACGTGATCATGCAAAGAAGCCATGTTCTGTTCTTTGTGTGGGCCTACAGCACTGTACACACAAGTTAAAATATATCCCAGTTGGTCTTTGCATTTTACTGACTTCGTAGTGCTTTAATGTGTCATATCTTTGTGCTCCTCTGTATCATTCAGTTTTCTTGACATGCATCCATATTTGCACCCCATTTGCGAAAAGTTATTTAAATGTATACAGTTTCTTTTTTTGTTTTTCTTTTCCTTTTTCTCGTGTTGTGTTGCTCTGTGAAGGCAGGCCACACGGTTGGACACACACCAGGTTCTGTTCAGGCTGAGCCTACAGTATCAGGCCATTTTACTGGGTTATGGGAATTCCCCAAGTCTCACAGTGAAATTGCTTCCCCCCCTATTCACCAGTTTCCTTAAAAAGTGCCTCTCCGATACAAGCCGAATGTGTGGGTGAGTTGTTGTTTATTTGTTTTAACGTTCGAGATGTAGGTACAGAATATATTAGAGGTGTTATTGTCTGTATTTTCTCTTTTTTGCTTAAATTCAGGGTGGGTTGCAATTCAGTGGTTGTTGCTCTTTGCTTGGAATTTTACATGGCAGGCAAATGTAGCACAGCAACAAGATGCACAGTGCTCAGAAAATGCCACGAGCTCGATGATCGTGCGTACTTTACGGCCTACAGTACAGAATTGCTTCTATGTTTAATCCCGAAGATAATAGTCTCAAGAAGGAAATTATTGTTTAGTTTTAATTAAATATATTTGAAATATAGATAAATATTATAAAACCTGGTGATAAATTAATCTCAAGTGTAGCTTTGAAAGAGATTTCTTCTTTACCTTTGTTACAGATTACACACAGGCCTGAGAGAACTGTGACTTGACAAAGTGCTACACCGGTTTTACTGAAGTCTAACATTTAGATTCTCTATTAAAAATAAGATAAATAAGATGTGGTGCCAGAGTGTATCTTGTTTAGTTTTTTGTTTTTTTTGCATTGTGATAGAGACTCAGTTGCGATAATGTCCCTGATATAATGCCTCAGGAGGGTTGAAGTCACCACCCTGCAAACAAAAGGACATTTTGTATGAAGCAGCACAGAGCTAATGACTATCAGCTGCTAATTTCTGCTGATGGGAAACTGGACTGTCCCAGCAGGGTGAGGTGCATATTCTGTAGAGGATCGACACAGTGGGCCTTCAGTCTGGTTATTACTCTTCCTCACATGTCTCCTGCTCACTCTCTTGTGCAATGAGGAAAATGTTTTTAAAAAAGGTAGTTTAAAGTAGGTGGGAGGCGAAAACAAAGCGTGCAGTTTGTTTCGCAGCAGGACTACATGATGGGTGATGTTTCCTGTATCCTCAGGCCTTTGTTTTTTTGTTTTGTGCCGGCAGGCTGAGAGTCATCACCCTGTTTGTTATTTCAGCACACCACAGCAGCCTGCGGTGGAAACGTTGTGCACCGGTAGATATGGCCAAGGTGTTTGGTGGTAGACACAGGACTAAGGAAAAAACAACTTGTGTGTGTGAGCCACATGAGTTGTGTGTTTGTGTGTGTGTTTTTCCTGTAGTGAACAAATAAGTCTCTGGGGGACAAATTCACACGTTACCAGCATTTTCTGGCCAATGGGATACATGCAGCTGGGTGTGTGTGTGTGTGTCTGTTGTTGGATACGGGCTTGGTTAAAGTATGGGAACATTCACCTAAAAACTGACTGAAAAAGATGATTTTTTTTTATTAATGCAAAGGATTTTTTCTAAAAAGTTTCACTGTTATTAAATGACACACCGAGTCTACACACCCACTCCCTTGTGTTGTCACTCATTCTCTTTCTTTACAGTGAGGTGAAGTTGAAGATACAAATGACTAGTATAGAGAAATCTATTGAAAATGAGTGACTGTGAGACACACAATGTAATGAGGATGACAGTTTTCATGACAGCTATTACTGAACTGGTTACTTTATTACGACAATCATACGTCAGTCTCTCAGTATTGTATTTGTATTACAGGAAGTAACAATGTTGGCTACATAAAGAGAAAAACAAAGATGTGGCTCTGATTACTTTGGGTTTATCGTGAATCATATCATGTGAAATTATTTGCAAACTGGGTGTTTCCTGTGTTATTACAACTTGCTTCCAGATAAGACCTCCAAGGTCAGTGCCCCGAAATTTAATCTAGAAGTGTCTTTGTCTTAATTGTCTTAGCTGACAAGAAGTGATGTGTTTTTGTAGTCAAATTAAACATCGTTTATCATCATAGAGTGGTAGAAACGTGCAGTACTTAGCTGGGACTGCCCTTGTGTGGTTCAGTCTAAATGGAAGCTGAATTATACAGTATCATATTTTATGGTTCCAGTTAACAGAGCAATGGTAGCTGAAACTCCCTGAGGAAGAAATATGATCACGTGCAATGCCTATAAAAAGTGTTCACTCCCTTTGGAAGTTTTCCCCTTTCATTGCTGTACAATTCTGAATCATGATCAATATCATTTCAGCATTTTTGACGCAAATTGACAAAAAAATAGTCTTTCATGTTCAAAATGAGATTTTTTTTACAAATAAATGTCACTTAGTTGAAAATATAAAATGTAAAATTCGTAATCGCATAAGTATTCACCATCCTTTATCGTGATTCACCAAATTCAACACAGGGGCAACCAACTGGGGCACACTCAGCGAAACAGAGGCCATCTGAGTGCAGTAAATAAGCGTCAAGTGATTGTAGTATAAAGGCACCTGGATCTGGAAAGTCCAGTCACTGGTGAATCAGTGTTCCTGGCTATAACAACGTCATTAAGACAAAACAACAGTCTAAGCAACTCCATGAAAAGGTTATTGAAAACCATAAGTCAGGGGATGGTTTCATGAAAATGTCTGAGTCACTGAATATTCTTTGCAGTACAGTTAAATCTATCATTAAGAAATGACAGAAATATAGCACATGCATTAATCTGCCGAAAGCAGGCTATCCTCAAAAACTGTGTGCAAGAAAGTGACTAGTGAAGGAGGCCACCAAGACACCTATGACTCCTCTGAAAGAGGACCTTCAGTGGATGAAATGGTAAGAACACCATCCCCACCGTGAAGTATGGTGGTGGCATTATCATTATGTGGGAATTCTTCTTGGCAGCAGGCCCTGGAAGGCTTGTAAGGATAGAAGGTAAAATGCAAGATATTAGGAAAACCAAAAGGCCAACCGGATGCAGTCTGCAAGGGAAGTGCAACTTGGGGGAAGATTTATGTCACAGCAAGACAATGACCGAAAACATACAGCCAACGCTACCCAGAAACAGACAATGAGGTGAATGTTCTGAAGTAACCGAGGCAGAGCCTGACCTCAATCCAACTGAGAATTTGTGGCTGAACTTGAAAAAAAGGCTGTTCACTCAAAATCCCTGTACAATCTGACAGCGTTTAAGCAGTTTGCAAAGAAGAACGGGGTAAAGATGAATCTACTATATACTGACTTGAAGTGGGGCAAATATACAGTCATTTAATTTTTGTTTTTAATTTTTAATCAGTTGGCATAACTTGATGTGGAAGAAACTTATTTTTAAAATTCTTGTCAAAAATGATAAAGTATAGTGATGGTTCAATATTAAAAAGAAATTAAAGGTGACTTCCAAGGGGGTGAATACTTTTATAGCCACTGTATTATCTGTTTGTTAATTCCCACAAGATGTCACTATTGCTCTAAATGACCCGTTTTTGGTCCATTGGTGGCTTTCAATAAAATTCTGATAATTAAGTCAAAACATAGTTTTTACGTCATGTGGCACGGTGCTTCGCGATAAATCTCGCAACCTCTGACTTGGACATAATATTAAAAAAATAAGTACTTCTTTGCCACAGACTGTGTAATGGATGGCTAACACTTTACACATCATTAGGTGATGATTATGTCCAAGAAACTTTTAATCTGTAGATTTAATATTATAATATTTCTAAAAATATTTAGCTGCTTTCTTCTTTTTTTTTTTTAAATAGCATGACTGCCCCTGAAGTGCAAGTTTATAAAATGCGTCAGACTTTGGCTAACAATTGTTTTTGGGTTAATTGTGTTATATGTGTGGTGTGCGCTCTTGGTATTTTTATGAAATGAACAGCGGGGTGTCTAACTAGTCTGACAGAAAAAATCATGGAGATACGTAGGCATGTCGATAACGTAATTATTTTCTTTGTACACAGGCAGTACTCTCAAATAAACTCAACAAATTACATGTAACTTAATTCTCAGTACATGACTTAAACGTGATACAAACACAAATTTAAAATATTATTTATTATATTATTAAAAATAATATTGTGTTATCTCACAATAACCAAAATCCTAGGTAATGTCTTTATATCACTGCACTAGCAAAAAATATATTAAATTAATGGATAATCCTCTATGGTTACAAACTGAGAGGATTTTCAACTAAGGAAGTAGTTTAAATATGTCAGTTTCATCTTTAGGATGCTCTGATGGAGATGTTTCACAGTGTTGTACATTTAAAATGTTTTAAATGAAAACAAATGATTAATTGATCAAATATATCATATTACTTATTAAACAGTTTTAAAAAAAAAACAAAAAACATTTGTTGGAGCCCTTTATCACATTATGAAATAGGTCTTAACTCAATTGCTTCATATTTCTTGTTAACCTAAAGTGAGGACTTAAAAAGCTCAGTGTAACCAGACCCTTTCAGTTCAGAGGAAATATGTGATGCAATCACAGAAACCCCCACCAGCCCCTTCTGTGAATTTATCAATGAGGAAAAAATCATTCAGTAAAAAGGGCCGGGTTTCTCCCAGAACCATGGGGGGTTGGCTTTTAAGTGGTAAAGAGATGAATAAGTACTTGTTCAGTTAAAAATATTAGGTTTCAATAGAAAATTGAGGCTCATTTACTGTCATTGTTCAAAGGCATATTGTTTTCTAAAGTAGGTCACTTACAGATGTCCATATACATGTTTAAAAGTCAATCATGTGGACGGGAGTTTCAGTTCTGGTAAAATGTCTATAATGAAATGTGGAAATGTAAAGCATTTGGCCCCAGTGTTTACATTACCGTCAGCGGCTCCTATTGGTCCCCCCGCTGACAGAGAGCTGCGCCCTGATTGGCCCTTCGCGCTGTCAATCATCGCTGTTTACATCATGCGAGGTGGAATTTCCCAGGTTACAGCATAGACTCAGTACACCACTTCCGCAATAGATGTCTGGGCAGAGAGACGAGAGGCCACTGCGAGCTGAAAGGTACCTAGCCAAAAGACACCTCTTTGTTTTCTGGCTCGTCGTTTAACTCCGCATTCCGACTGACTTACTGCACCGATAAAAGTAGTGGGTAGATGAGAGGAAGCTAGCGGCGTCCTGTCCCGCACTGTCATCTAGTGTTAGCTAGCCGACAGCTAACGAAGATGTTGCTAGCAATTTGCATGACAACAGCGAAAACTAATATTAGCCTTCTTCAGCCAATCAAGGTAGCTATCATTAGCTACATTGTGCTGTATTTGACTCTCGTCTGTCGGATAGATGTTTGTTAGCGGGATTCACGTCATATTTGGTAGATTTTTCTGCTCTGCTTTTGTCTTTTTCCTCGGATTGTAGTTGTCATATTTAGCTATCACAAACGCTAGCACACTTTTGCCATATGTCTCTCCCTGGCAGGGTAGCTTCATGGGGGGATACTGCTGCTTTTGTCCTCTCAAGAGCCGTCGGATGGTCTTTATTTTCTTCACCGACAGTTTACACTCGTCCAGCTTCAAATCATGACTTAGCAAGAGGTCGACAGCGTTGGTCGAGTGGGTTTACAGTAGGACAGACAGTGGGGTGGCTGAGTGGCTGATTTATTTCTCATTTCCAACATGGAAGTATCAAGAAACAGTACCTGAGACTACCTTCATAGTCTCTGTTGTATTTCTATACTATAAGTTCAACAGGATTAGTAGTTTAGGACAAAGAACAAAGAGCTTCAACTGTTGTCTCTGCTTGCATTACCAGCTGATGTAATGTTTGACGTTTGTCGCTCTTGTACTGTGTCTCATAATTTCAAATGCCCTTTATCAGTAAGTCAGGATTCAAATGCAGCTGTTGGCAAAAATAGGGGTTTCCAGCTGCTTCTCTTACTGCAAGCCGTGGAGAACTACTGTAGACACAAGCAGTCTGAAGTGTGTTTTCTGTAAATGTCAGTTACTTCTTCTTTATGTGTTCATTTATCTTCTGCTGAGTAGTTTATGGTACTTTATATCTTTATTTATTTTTAATAATTAGGTTAAAAATAACTTGGTGTTCATTCCACAGTTCAGAGGACCATGTATAGGAAGTAAGCGACGGCAATGGAAGGGAAAGGTCCGTATCGCATCTATGATCCAGGTGGGAGCGAGGTCAAGGCCAGGGAGGAGGCCGGAGGGGGAAGCAGCTATCGACAGCTACTGGAGGAGAACAGCATATTGAGGGAGCGGATGAAGGGACTTAAGAGCTTAGGTAAGTTCCTAAAGAGAACATGGTTATCGGAAGGCTGTGGACTGAGGGTAATGCCACCTGCTCTTTGGCACCGCACATCTGCTGTGTGTCTTAACGGACGATTTTGTACTTCCAGATTTTTAGATATACAAGGACGCACGTTTCTTTATTGTAGTTAGCAAAATGTACAGTGGAGAACTGCTTGAATTTTTCAGCAGCGCAAAATTATTACTGAGTACGAACATAATTCAGCCACAAAGAAGTCATATGATGTTGTTTACATAACTGTCTTCTTAGTCAAAACATACACATACAACACAAACACGGGAGCAAAACTGTCACGCAGCAGTTTGAGATGGAATGCAGTGAAACCTGATAATCCTCATTGGTTGTCTCTTCAAAAGCATGCATACCAATGATGTGAATGTCCTGATTGCTCCTTTTCTGACTCACCAAAGGAGTGCTATTTGGCACGTAATTTCTCACTGAGCTTCAGTCACTTCTTATTTGATGACTGCTCGTGCTGATAGTAGTAGCCTTAGCAGTGTTTGATGGTGAAGAATAAAAGTGAAGTTAGATTAAGCGAAACTCAACTGAGGTGTTGCTGGACCAGAGACAAGATCTCTCTGAAACTTGCAGGTGATTTGCTAGAAGAATCTCAATCAGAGGCATCGAGGCTTCGGCAGCGAGTGGAGGAACTTGTGAGAGACAACGAAGCCCTGAAGTCGTCCAGCTTTGCTGCCAGTCTGTGTATGGGAGGACCCGCTCAGACTGAGACACAAAGTAGGTCCCACAGACTCGATCGTGATGAGGAATTTGGTTTTATTGAGTTTTACTCTGATTTGTGAATTATAAATCTGGGTGGTAAAGATTTGGCATTGCTTTCTACTTCTAATTTTGCTTTGGCTTATCTCAGGTAAACCCTGTTTGCACCCCCCTGCAGAGCAGAAGGAGGAGCAAACAAGCTGTTTAGGGAAGACCCTTCTGTCTGAGAAGCCCAATGTAAGTCATTTGTGTCTGAGAGCTTTCTGTTCAGGTAGAAATGACTTTGTGATGAATGTAATATAATGAGTAACACCAAATGCAGATGTTATAGGGACTTAAAATGCAATATCTCATAGCCAGAGAATTTTTAATTTATTGGTACTAGTTTCTGATACAGTTATCAACACCACATGTGCTACACGGCTCCCTAACCTTTTGGTCTTTACAGGAGGCCTTATCGGAGTTTGAGGTGGTGAATGTGGAGGGAAAGACTTCCGATGCCTTGACTGTAAGTACCAAATAAATACTCAACTATAACAGAAGCTCAAACTTTTCAAATCCTATTGGTTGTTGTAAATTATAGCAAATTAAAAACTATTATTTAAATCATTAAGGCTAAATTCAACCTTTCCTCTTTATAGCCATTTCCTCAATATTGGGAAGATATCCTTGGTGTGTTGACTCACCAGCAAACTCAATACTGGTAGCTCCAGCCTGAGTCAGTCAGGGGAAAGTCCAGGATTATTACTGACTAGAATTACGCCGCTGATTCATTGACACACTACATCCTAGTGGATGTGCTAATAGGACACTGTGCCAATACATTTAAGGCTCACATGTTGTCAAACCTCATATCATCGGCGAGCCTTTCATCTATTGTTATATTCTACGACCTACTTTGACACAGTTCCCACGCCTAAAGTTAACCTTTTAGTTAATGTGCCACCACAACCAATTTTAGTCTGTGGAGACTAAATTTAAATCCAACTGGGCAAACTGGTTTGACTTTTCACATAACCCTGCTGCTGCCTTTCACAGAAATAATAGCACGATGACTCTTACGCTGTGTTTTGTGCTAGTTTAAATTCGTGTGTAATTGTGGGCTCGCCTACTGAGTCAGTTTGAGGGGAAAGGTTGACTGACTTTGTACCTATGTGGGTATCTCCAGGCCGGGTCAGTGGCAGGAGTAATCCCCCTCCTTCCTCAGGAGAACATCGAGCTCGCGAGCCAGCTGAAGAGGCTAGAGAGCTCTTTCAGCATATTCGCAGAGGAATCCAACCCAAACCAGCTGTTAGCTCACCTTGGCCGCATGGCTGTGGAGTTTCACCATCTTTCCTCTAAGGTCCAAAAGAATGAACAGAGGACCTCCCTCCTACAGGTATGACACAACAGTTGTATGATGAAAGTAAAAAAAAAAACGACAATTCACTGTCACACTGTTTTAGATTTAAGTTTTGTTTTCTCTGAGTTGGCTCTATACTGTTAGCACTTAAGTATTATCATACAAAAGGAGCAAATGTTTGGATGTAGGATGATATAATTTTACATTTGAATATATTAACTTTATACCATTTACACATTTATGTTGAATGTTATCGTGTGAGTTACCAGATAGTTTAGGAGGTACTTGCTGACCTGTAAAAGCCTTTTTGTGGCAGATTTTGTTGATGGTGTGTGTGTGTAGAGAGAGAGAGAGGACAGCTTGTACAAATACACATATAAAGAGTTTTACAACAGTAGTTTGGGCGTCTTATGAATTAAAGTCTCTATGGGCTGGGTGCATGTTAGCGCATGAAATACACAAAAACAAATACTGCTACTGGTACACAACACTGGTAGTGGATGACGAGTTATTCAGGCACAGATTAGCACAGATTTCACTTGATTGCTTTTTTTTGACGTTGTGTGTTAAACTTTTTACATTTAAAAAAAAAAAGAAAAAAGGGAAATTCAAAAGTATTGTGAAGTGAACATGTTAAATATGTCAATGCTAAGACCCAGTTTTTCTTTTGGTTCTGTAGACTCTCTGTGAGCAGCTCAGGCAGGAGAACAATGAGCTTCGAAAGAAAATGGAAGAGGATCATCATATCAGGAATCGAGACTTGGAACAGCTGAGGTAATGTTTCTCCTTTTCTTTTCACTCAGCTGGGCTTTGTGTTGCTTCTGCTGGAACTTTATTGTTAGTGAGGTCAAAAAGAACAAATCGTGTTATTGGTAGCAAATTACTTCACTACAAATAGCACGCTGGTGTTTCATTCTTGTGGTCTTTGTGTTATTTTTGTTTCTGATGACCATCTGAATACAGCATGAATCAACCTCCCATTTCCGTTTTGATGAGAAAACATAACAAACATTACACATTCTGTACTTTGTCATAAACGTGTACAACTGCCATCGCTTTCACTTTTGATGGGGAGGGATTATTCCAGTGCTTTCTGTTGTCCTTGGTGTACACAGCGGGTATTGTAGGTTCTTCCCAAAAGGCGTTTTGAAGCTGTATCAGAACATCAACAAACGCTGGATAAGGGGTCTTGTTCACAAGCGCTATCATTTTCACTCTCTTGTTACTTTAGACAGGAGAATCAGAAACTTAAGGAGCTGGTCACAGGAGGAGCAGCAACAGCAGCATCAGCTGCGTCACCATCTGACACCGAAACTCCAGAGGCCAAAGAGGAGCCAGTTAAGGAGGAAGCTGCTGCTGTCCGACCTAAAATGGAGGCCTCCACGCCGCAGAAGGTAGTGGGAATTCAATTACACTGCAAATGTATTTTCTTATTCTGTACAGGCACTTTATACAGCTTTGTTTCACGTGATTGTTTTCTGGTACGAAATACGTTTTAATTTTAGATTTAATTTTCTCTTTTAGAAATACTTTAAGAGCTTCTCAGTTAATTTGTGACTTAAAACTTCCCCTTTTGTAAGCTCTCACCCTGTGCGTAATGGTGGAATGTTGTGGATTTAGGAATATTTTCTGTTCCCCCAGAGTGGAAAAGCTGCAGAGAAAACCCCAACTAAACCTTGTGATGTAGAAGTGTATGAGAAGAAGATCAAGCTTTTGGAGAAGCAGAGAAAGGATGTGAGTCTTACCTACTTATTTTCTTACTTACTGCTCATCCTCTTTTGCCATAGGGGAAAGTCTCTGTGTATTTTGTTTCCTATATGTTCAGTATTTGTTTCACTTTCTGGTGCTGCTTACAGGTACTGGAGGTGAACAAGCAGTGGGACATTCAGTGGAACTCCATGAAGTCACAGTTTGAGCAGAAGGTACAGTAATGACTTTACGGCTGTTATAAGGGTGTGGGAAGACATCGACGTGTCCTTCACTGGTGCTGTTGAGCTGCTGAATCCAATTTCTTTTCTTTTGTGAAATTTGAATGAGCACTTTTTTAAAAATGTTGCTCATTTTTATGAATTCTGTGATCTATGATGTCTATTCAGTCTACTTCAGGTATTTTTTACTCCTAATTTTTTTTAAAATAAAATGTTCCCCTTTAGCTTGTATTACAATAAAAAGTTTTTTTTTAGATTCAAGCAAACACTACAAGGATGAATCTACATGTACAGTACAAAAAAGGTACTCCAAGTGTTTACCTACAAACTATTCTTTTTAAATATATATTCTTAATTCTGAACTAACTTCAGCTGACTTCCACTTTATTCATTTCAACCTGTGCAGATGTTAAGTTTAATGTGTTTCCTATTGTCTTAAAATATTACTTTAAATGCACAAGTGTCACTCTGTCATGAATGACAGATACAGCTGCTGTCAGTAGTAACACATTTTTAAAAAAGACTGATAAGTTCAGTTTCCAGTTTCTGTATGAACTGTTTTCCCCAACAAGGATAAACTGACTCTTAAAATAGGCAAAACTTACTAAATTATACCGTTAGAAAACGCTACAGAACACTATTAGCATTTTGATTGACAAATATTAAGAACTGTTGCGTTGTGACACCCGCGGTCACATTTTGCAGTACGAAAGTGGAGTAATCTTTTCTTCTTTTTTTTCTTTTTTCTTCCTACGAATGAAGTTGACATGTTTTTCCAAGTAGCTGAAATAACAGACGACAAAGATTGTGTAACCCTCGTAAATATCTTTTAAGAGACGCATGATTTTGACGTTTGTGTGCATCATTTGGCAACGATGCAGCCGTCTGTGTTTTTTTATAAATGTGCTTGTCCAGGCTAAAAGGTGCAATCTTGCAATAGCTTCGCTATCTGAGCATACTTACCACAAGGCTTGTCACACTTCAGCAAGAATTCCCCTCACCTCTCCGGTACCCGCTGACTTCCTGCTGTGGTGCAGTCAGAGGGCAGCAGAGACACACAGATGTACACACTCTCACACTCATACTCACACATCTCTGCTTGTGCACACCCAGATGTATGAACAACCCTATATTCACACTTCGTTCAGACGGAGACACCATGCAGCCTTTGGTTTAAACCACAGAACCCTAGATATATCCATTTGCGTCACGATGTTCGTTCATATTTTACACAAAAACAGAACTGCGTGTTTGCAAATGTGTCCTTGTTGCTGTGGCTTAGTTTGTAATGTGATAACGCACAGCATTTCCAAAGCTGTATTTTAACACATGCACCAGCTGATGCTTATCTTTACCAGAGTTGTTATCACTGAATCGCATTTTTCATTTTTTATTTTTTATTTTTTTTCGGTTTCTGTTTATGAAAATCATACCTTAGAGCTGTGATTAGTGGACTCGATGAATGCTGTCCCCACCTAAACGGTTTAAACTGTCCCTCAGATTACAGACCTCAGACAACGGCTGGCTGAGTCCCAGAAAACCGTGCTTGAGCTGGAAGCTGAGCGAGAGCAGAGGCAGCGCGACTATGACAAGAAGCTGTTGCTGGCCAAGTCCAAGATTGAAAATGTACAGGTGAGAATGCAAGAAAAAAAAAAGCTATTAATCATCAGGACATGGAAACACACACACGGGGGGAGAAAAGCTTCAAGATCCTTTAGGAAAAGTGTTTCAATGTTTCGGGTTTGTATGTTCCAGGGGGAGAAGGAGTGTTTAAACTCTGAAACCACAGAGCTAAAGCAGAAGATCCGCTACCTGCAGGATCAGCTGCTGCCGCTCAGCAAACAGAGAGAGTACCAGGAGAAGGAGATCCAACGCCTCAACAGGGTGAGTGTGGAAGAGATGCAAAAAGAGCTATCAAGCACGCGGACGTTTCTTTTTGTGTAATCTTTGTTTCGTCCTTACTTCAGGCTTTAGAGGAAGCCTTAAACCTGCACTCCCCTTCATCCTCCCAACAACCTCCTGGCCAGGGCAACTTTGCAGATGCAGCCAATAACCTGAAGAAACAGGAACTGCTCACACAAATTGCTGTATTAAAAGAACAGGTCAGATGTGCAACAAATCACAATACTCGAATATGCACAGTGATGCTGCATTACACGTGTGATTCCTCAACTGCTCGTCGTTTTGTGCTTCAGGTGAAAATCTTTGAAGAGGACTTCAGGAAAGAAAGAAGCGACAGGGAGCGAATGAACGAGGAAAAAGAGGACTTGAGGCGGCAGGTTGAAAGACTCCAGGGTCAGATTACTAATCTGACCAATCAGGTGAGCTGTTTGTACGCAATCTTGTCCGTATATGACACGATCAGGAAATCTTTAGCTTTTATATGTTGGGGTGAATTGCTATTATACCAGAATGTCTATATAACTGAAGTGCTCATCTATTTATTGTCTTTGTGTGGTTCAGCTTCATCAGGCGCAGAACGAGTGTCAGAGAGAGCGGACAGAGAGATGCAAGCTGGAGAGACTGCAGATGCAGCACCACAAACAGGTACTGGCCACAGCTCAGGTCTGAGCTCCATCGTATTGCAAATGTATTGAAATGGTGAATAAAACGGTGCCGTCATTTTATTTTGGCCGTGCATTTAATTAGGGAAAACTTCACTGAAAGTTACTCTTGAAGCCTCTAGAATGAATTGGGACGAACCAGTGGTGGCAAACGTTGCAGACTAGCGCCCCCTTGTGACAGAATGCAGTCATAGATGACTGATGACTGAGCGACTAGACTGACTGTAATAAGTCCACACTGGACAAATCAATACTCCAGCACAAGAGCCTCACTCCAGCTAGCTTGTTTTGTCAGTGCACTCGGGATCAGCAGGTGGAACATTTACACTCCTCAGTGGGAGGCAGCCTCAGCAGGGTTGAAGGTCAGCAGCGGCCCATGCCGCGACATGGGCGCTGCGTTCGCTGAGAGTAGCAGCCGTGCACTGATTGGGGATCACATGTGTACTTGTGATCCCTCGTAGGGGCAGCAGCAGGAAAGACGTACCTCAGACCCCACGTCAGGCTCAGTGAACGGCCCGCTGAGCCCTCCCTACTGTGGTCCCTTTGTGCAGGTGGGACCGCAGGGCCTTGAGGGTTGGCCCATACACTTCCCTCCCAGGATGCCCAATGCAGCAGGCGCCACAGCCGCAGCCGCCGCAGCACCACCCCCTGTACGAGACTTCCAGCCTGTTACCCCGGTAAGGGTGCTCTAAGGCCCCTCTGTCTCTGTCTCTGGAGTGACTCTGGTTCACTGAGGAAACAAGGCTCTTCTTCTCTCTTGCCTGTACTCCGCTCACTCGCTGGGAGCCGCACGCTTACATTCAATAACCACATTGCTAGGTTACGGCAAAGACTTACGGGCTGCTAGCTGTGATGATGAAGGATATTTGGAGAGTTTAACTTTGATGGTGCTTTCTCTTTGGTCAGGGTTTTCCTTGGCAGATGTCATTCCCTCAATCCAGAGGGGCCAGAGCAGCAGTAGGAGAGAGTTCGAGACCACCACCAGAGAATGCAGGTATGGCACAGTGAGACGAATACAACTTTAAATTCTTTTAGATCGCACTGTTTATCGCTACAGGGACAATATAGCGCTACTGTGTCTTTATTGTCAGTAAAACTCTATTTAACTCTTTAAAAACAGGCCACAACTGATGCTTTTGGCAGGACTAAATGCTGCTTTTGTTGCATACATTTTTTCAGCCATAGATTAACACCTACTGGTACATATTTATGTCAGTAGGACAGGTTGAAATCAGAGCTGCAACAATTAATTGATTAACTATTACATTCCTCACCAGCTGTTTTCAATTTATCAGTTTGAGCATTTTTATTGGCAAAAAAAGGACTAAATTGTCTGATTCCAGCGACTTAAATTTGAATATTTCCTGGTTTCTTTATTCCTCTATGACCGCCAACTGATTGTGTTTGGGTTGTGAACACAACACATTTATGGATGTCCTCTTGGGCTTTGACAAACACTGCTAAATATATATTTTTGACATTTTCTGACATTTTGTAGATCCAACAACTAATCAAATCATCAAGAAAATAACTCACAGATCAGTTAATATTGAATGTAATCGTAAGCTGCAGTCCTACTTGAAATATATCATGTTCATTTATTGAATGTACGTTGCTCAGTGTTTGTTGTTGCTTTTTATGAACATTGTTGTCAAGAAAATATAGAAAATCATCAGCATTATCCTTTCATGTAAATAATCTCTGATACTTGAATCTTTATATTAAGAAAACTTGACACAGTGGTGAATGTTTAGTTGCATTAAAGCTGCAGCAGACGTAGATCTGGAAAAGGCAAAAAAGATCAATTTAAAAAAAACATCAGAAGTTAAAACTACACTCTCCTCTCTCTGTACTAAGGCCCTCCCACCAGACAAGCACAAATGCACAAAAATAGTTGAACCAAAAGTCAACATTCACTCGTGGCTTTATATGAGGTTTGTCAAAGTCCTCTGTTTGACCCACTGGTGCCACTACAGCTTCGGGAAGTTTGTTTTCATTTCTTCTGTCTCACCTGAATGAGTTGAAAAGACCTGTGATTGGCTAAAATGCTCTAAGTTTCTACTGAGACCACTTGAAATGCAGAAAAATTATAAAATTTTGCCTCAGTGACACCCAGAAAATAAACTCCAAATTCCAAAAGAAAAACGTAGCTGCAAAGGTTGTGACTGTCAAAGGTAATCTTGAACCTTTTTTTTTTCTGCAGATCAGTCAGCAGCAGCAGCAGCAGCAGCCGCCGCGGCAGCAGCAGGATTCGGAAAAAGGGAGCGACAGAACATTGACCCTGGAAAGCACTAAAGCGTCACCGTACCCACCGAACAGAGTCTGGGTAGTAGCATGAAATCAGTTTGTTTTTGAGTTGACAAGGTGTGATTTGATCTATAATTTTCCTACTGAACTGTAGATATCCTATTGTAATGTTGTTTATACTTGCGTTTTATAAGGCTATTTGTGAAACACTTCGCTATTCTGAATATATACATGAAATATTATTTAGATTTTTTTATCGGGAACTTAAGTCATTTGTTAAATAGGTTGGAATAATTAACATTGTTTTGTTTTTTTTTTTTGTTTTTTTTTTTCCAGAAAAATAAACCTATGTGATTGTTTCTCTGCAACAATGTAACAACTTAACACTCGGTTTGTTACTTGTAGGGTTACAGGAAGCCATTCCCCAATATGACTACGTATACTCATTCCAACAATGAATGATTATATAGGTACACTGAATCATAGAATTTACAATGTGAATGTTAATTGATTTATGAGGGTTTCTTCAGTACCATCGATGTTATAGAACCGTCCCATATGTGTAGCTGTTCAAAAGTGGTTGTTGAAATACAAAAATTTTGGGAAATGAATTTTGATGGTATCATACCAAAAACATTGATTGTGATTATGATAATTTATTTATAACCTGCTGTTTTGATAGTTGCATTGACTAAGTGTAAATCATTGTCTTTAGTAATGCTGTTCTTTCTATGTTGTTAGTGTAATCCCAATATATTGTAGCTATTGACATTGTATGTTTGTATCAGACACAATACACAATGCACAGTACATACACAACCTTTTTTTTTTTTTTTTCCCCATGATGATGGACCTAATCTCATTAAACAACACTTCTACTTGATTTGACCACTCATTCCGATACTCATCTTACTGCATCCTGTACTGTTGCTCAGTTTAGCCCCGACACGCATCATCTCGAGGTTTTCGGCAGCAAAAAAATGTCAAAGCAGCAGTGATGACTAACTTCCTCTTCGTACCTGTTAATGTCGCACCAACTTAACTGAGTTTTAATTTTTGCAACTGAACATTTAAACTCTGCTCAGGTGGCAGAAGGAGGAAGATTTTCATCAGTACTTGGAGGCTCTAGACCCCATGTTACAGCAGTACAGCCGCTCCTCAGAGGGGAAAAAAAAAAAAAAAAAAAGCCTCTACCGGGATGTCTGGCTTTGCTTTCTGTCCACTCCAACAACCAGCAATCCATGCCTTGCCGACTGACCTGTGAACTGCTGTAACACAAAGTCAAGAGGCCCGATGACAGACACGGGATCCACACCTCGAGATCATTACCGTTTTTTTTTAAAAAGGTAAATCCAATCTCAAAATCAAGCCTTGCCTGTTTTACCTGAATACCAATTACAATTTCCTTAGTATAGTTTATTTCAAGTAGTCAGATGAAGGGCTTCAAAAATGTGCGCGGAGACGACTTTGGGGGGAAAAAAAAGCTCAATTTTATCAAGTTGTTAAGTAACAGGGAACAAAATTGCGATGGGTGAGAGCTGAAATGAGACATTAGCAGAATTGCACTTTGAGAGGTACGCTGTAATTACTGGCAGTTGTATTTTCCTGGTTTGTAGCCTTTTTTTTCCCTTTTTTGCTGTAGGCAAAAGCACATGTGAGACTTTTTGTATTTGACTGGCTTAATAAATCTATTCTAAATGTCTGTTAGCATCTTCCCCTGCTTATTCATCCTGTGTCCATTTTCATTTTTATTTTATTTTTTATCAAGGGGGCTCAATTTTTTTTGCTACATAATTTTCACCTTTCAGTTACACCCGGAGTTGTTTCCCGTAAGGAAAAAGATCTGCACATCAGTGTTGTGTTCTCAAGGATTTATTGGAAGTAATTAACATTGAGACTGTAATAGCTAACAGGTCCTGGGATGTGAAGATGACATGGCGCTGTGGGATTGCAGGGCAGCTCGAATGCACTGAAAAGCTGGCCTGAACCCCAGACTCCAAAGAGGCACCACAGTGTTCCTGTTTTCAAGCCTCCTCTTCATTCATCATGCCATCTTCATGTATCAGACACTGTCCCATTACTCTACTTGATGCGCTACCTTTTCTCTACGACGACTTCCTACGATGGACGTCGATCACATCTAGTTAAAAACATCCTGCGTGTACAGCTGGAGAACGTATTTGCGAATGTCAGCTCGCACCTCGGACGTGGCCACGCTCGGGTGCCACCTCATCACCGGCTTCCCGTCTGGTCCCACCAGAAACTTCTCAAAGTTCCACTTGATGTCGTTGGTCTTCAGAGGCTCCCAGAACAGTCTGCCGTTAATGTCACCGAAGTTGTCTCCGACCGGAGGGCAGGAGCTCTGCATGAGGGGAAGCACAGGGTTGGAAAGAAAGTGGAGTGAATAACTTTCATCCTATAGATCTGTATGGAAACCAACTGAGTGTTTGGTTTGTGATCAGTGCAGCTTGTTAGTAAGATTACGCTAAAACTAGCAGCCCGGATTTCATGAAGCCTTGCAAGAATTTCTGAGCATTTAAGAAATAATCATAGCTGATATATTTAATATTATCCAGATATTATGTTTTACTGGGTTTGGCTTTGGGATCGACTAAAATGGGTTATTATTGGTAATAGAGAAAGTCTGGTAAACGATATGTGGGCCTGATGAAATGCAATGTTTTAAGAACATGTTGTAGCAGGAACCTGTCATTTATAGCTAGGCTTCTTTATAAGATTGATTTTTTTTTTTTTAATTGCCCAATGACCCACTTTTAACCCTTTTTTTTTTTGCACATTGTGTGTTTAACGACAGCATCCCTGGAACTAAAGTTTATTCCCAATAAAACACAAAGCAAGATTATTTATTTACGCTATCAAGCGTTATATTTGTTTTTGCGGTACAACTTGTCATTCCTGCTTAATCAGTTATGAAAGTTCAATGAAATTAACTCGTCATTTTTGTGACCAAGTATTTCATATTAAAAAGTAATGCGTGTGTTTTGTTTTGTATTATTGTGACATGCGACTACATATGGTTCAGAAAATATCACTCGTTGACTTCTGCGAGAGAATGCATCAATAAGGGTGACCACATGTAGAATGGAGGAGCTAATTTCCAGGTTTGTGGCGACGGCTTGTGTTTCTTGTTCAGTTTTTACAGTCTCTGCTTGATAGACTTTTATGAGATCCCAGAGTTTCTGAGACAATAGTGCATTAAATTTATCAATAATCGGTCCATAAAAATATAGATATTGACAATAGGAAAAATGCCATATATTGGCCACAGTAATTGGACATCCCTCGTTTGGCTGCATGTGGTCCTGGGTGTAAGCACATGTATGCACTCTTCTGGAGCTGCTCCAACGTGACCTATCGTGTTATAAAGTTTGTGTAGATCTGTAGAGCATCCAGCCTAACGTTCAAATGTTGAGTCATTGGATACATATCTGAGGCGTCTATGCACCTCTGCAGAATATCATTTATAACACATCTTTGTGATTTAAAACCACTAAAGTCAAATTTAAGTTTTAAATCACTCACTTGGACAAGAAGACCTTATCTTACCTTGAGGAAAGTGAACACCTCTTGCTCGTCTTTTCCATTCACGTCACCTTTCTCAAACAGCAGGAAGTTTGGAACAAATCCATTGCCAGGTCTAACATGCCTGGAATCCAGAAAGAGGGCAGCTTATCAGTGGATGTGCCTCTGAGCACTTTGCGGCTTTGGCAGCTGCCCTACATTCATCTACAAGCCGACCAAGACCACACAGCGCATTGCAAAGGCTCCGCTATGGATCTACGATGACTGATGGAACCCGAGACAAATTCTATGTGTGTTAGAGGGGCCACTAAGAGAAACCGATCTCATTGCCAAAGGATGTTTCCCTGATTAAATGAAGCTTTGCTGATTGACAGGATTTACCAATACGGCAAATTCCTGTCTACATCCAGCTTTAAAAGTTCTTATGTTACGGCACATCAAAATGTATACCGGCTTATTAGAAGCTTATGGCTCCAATTTAGGGTATTCTCATGCTTTAATGTTTTCTATAGGCATCCAGTACAAAATACCTTCAAGATCAGGTTCAGGGAAACAAGAACTTTCCCTTAAAACAATCGAGGTTAGTGTCATTCTTTAACTGGTGGTGCTTGTGGGGTTTTCACTGTGACTGACTGGGGGTATATTTGCATTAAAAGTAAAACATTTCTTACTTTAAACCCGGCAGGATTTCATGTTTTTGCCCTGGTTCCTGTTTCCCAAACTGGTTGCAGGGAAAGCCAAGAAGAGTGAGCCCATACGGTTTCATCTCCTCGTGCAGTGCATTCAGTTCTGGTAGAAGACAAGAAAAAGTTGAGGTGGCAAAGCTTGTTTTTCACACTGCAACAAAACAATTAAAGAAGGCCGCGGTGCCGTTTCTTACCCACATACTGATAGGTGTATCCTCAGTATGTAGCCACGTTGACAAAGAGGACGCTCTTGCCTCGGTAGTCACTCAAGTTCACAGTGCAACTACCATTTAGAGTCCTTGCTTGGTATCTGTAAATGGTGCCATTTGGGGATGAGTCACACCGCTGGAGAAACAAGACAAAAGGTTAAAGTAGGTCCTGTTTATTTTGATTGGCTAACAGCCGGCACAGTTATTAACTCTTCAGTATAGTATTTGTACCCCTATAAATGCTCTTATAGTTAAGTGTATACAAGCTCACGCATGGATTTGACCTGCAGGACATGAAATGACTATAATTTGCCAACTTGCGCACTAATGGAGCAGCCTGGGAGTCGAATGGCTACAGTGCTGCTGCATGACTGCAAGGTGCTTCGTTTGATTCCAACCAAGGAATTGTGCTGCTTTATGTTCCAAACAGAGGTGCAGAGAAAAGTATTACAAGTTTATCTGAGTTTTAACTGATAACTCGTCTGTATTTTCAGCCCTTTCAACCATTTATATCAACGTAATTATTTACATCTTTGTTCTACATATTAAACAAATCTTACTGAACATTGAAAGACTACTTTACATATTCACAAATAGGATTAGGCGCACACAGGCTGAGATACAGACACACAACTCTTTACACACTTTGGTAAATAAGTCTGGTACAACAACAGCCCCATAATTTATAATCTCTACAACCCAAAAAGACGAAACGTTCAGTTCAGGTTATTCCATCTCAAATCATCGATGCCCTTCTGCAAGACCATCTCTGATTGGCTGATAACTTTGATTAGAAACTACAGATATTTAAAATGGCATCTGTGAAGTTTCAGACACATATCAAGTACTTTCTAAGATTGATTTTTTAATTTTTTTAATTGTCCAATGACCCATTTTTAACCCTTTTTTGTTTTTTTTTTTGCACATTGTGTGTTTAACGACAGTATCCCTGGAACTAAAGTTTATTCCCAATAAAACACAAAGCAAGATGATCTATTTAAACCCCATCAAACTGTTTCCACAATGATTATGACAATATGTTTGCCACTTAGGCTCTCAAAAGTATATCAGATTACCATCATGTATATGTTAAGGTATATAAATGTACTCCTAGAAAACCCCACTATGCCAACAGATCTATGTGCTTGATCAGTGTTGCATTGTGCTGATGTCATCCTCAAGTTCTAATACAGTAATAATTCCCAAAGAAATGACACAAACTGACATGACAAGTCTCCTCCAAACTCAGGTTTACGCCTACAAAGTGGGATTATAGATTATGTTTGGAGAACCATGTGGAAGTCCACGTCTCTGTTCTGATTGGATTAGGCTGTCAAGCATTATATTTGTTTTTGCTTGTCCAATATGGCAGATTCTGAATCAATGGCATGATGAGAAATAACAGTTCCATATATGATAAATATATTTATCATTATCCATATTTTCTGCTGCAAAAATTCTTGTCAAGTCAGTGATGGTCGAGCATAAATTGTTGTAAAAATTTCATAATTTGACTCTTTTCATAACTGTTTGATGATACGCGTGGCTTGTTTTGTAACACTTACATAAGTCCAACTGGCAGTTTAATTCAGTATTTGGCAGGTAAGTGTTTCACTTATTGAGTAAAACAACAACAACTGATGAAACTGACTCCGCGTTGTGATAACTCTATTTATTTTTAGCCAGTACAAACTTCTCAAATCCAAATATGTGTTTATTTTCTTTGTGTAAATGACTCTAAACTAAATACACTTGATTTTTGCTGTGGTACTCGGACAAAAACAAGACACTGTCAGTTCATTTTAATGTACCAAGAAATGCCGAGAAGGCCCTGGCGATCAGATAAACAATGACTCTCCCGTCTCTCTTCTGTGTACAATGCAAATATCAGGAGCTTGTTTGCCAAATGGATCCCGAAGCCTTAACCAAATAAGCAGCGTCATGCGTACAGCTGAGATACTTTCACCTTTCTTCCTCTTCATACTTGTGTTGTTATGTGGGCAGGAGCACTTTGAAACAGGACAAGTGTCAGCGGGAGAACTTTGCTCTCGCTGCCTGAGCCTGAGAAAGCAAATTATCACAGAAATAACGTCCACTGTGTCTTCTTGAAAGTGAGAAACCACAAGAACTATTTTTATATGGATGAGAAAACAAAGACGATTCTGAATATGTGCCTAGGAATGTGTCGGTGTCCTGTCGATTGTCATGTGTCTGATATGAAATTATCTAAAATATGTAACCTGCAGGGCGTTAGAGGTCAAAAGGGACCTATTTAAAAGTGTTATTTGTTTTCAGTGCACTTTAAGGAGGCTGAGGAGCAAAAATAAGCGCCTCTAAATTCGGAATAAGTAGCTTTTTATAGTTACTGACCAACAGAGTTCCCACAAAATATAAACAAATAGAAATGCTGGAGTAACTGAAGTTAAAAGTAAACAGACGAAGTCATTCATTCTTCCATTGTTACGGTGAATCCATTACCTAATGTCGTTACACTTTAAACAGGCCGAGGAGCAAAAACAAGCACCTCTAAACGTGGATTACCTATTTTTGTTTTTTTTGTTTATGGTTGCTGATCGCCAGAGTTCCTACAAAATGAAAACAACTTAAAATGTTGGAGTAATCTGACTAAAATGATACCTTTGGAAACAAAAATCCTCTTGGTTGTTCTTTATTTATTTGTTGTACAGTGCAGAATAAACAAATAAATTCATCTACCTCCTCAGATTCAATCCATTAGTTTGTATCATCAATGATCTATTGAGGAGGTCTGTGTCATTAAAAAAAAAAGACTTGAAAAAGGGTAAGCATAATCAAGGAGGGTAAACATGACTGGTGCTCAAAATTTCAGGCAAGAAAGAGCCAGCTATTTACTATATTAGTCACAAGGAATATTCTGGAAAACAGCAATCTGACCACCAGAGGTTATGACAGATCTCTGCTAACTAGCATGCAAAGCAGCCCCTACCACTGTTGCAATGCTTTTTGTGGCTTCATTAATTGCTTTTCTGCCTTTTATTTCAAATTGCAGGTAAATTACGCACGTTGGCTGCAGCGTTTTCAGCATCATTTTCTGCAACAGCCTCCATTACAGAGCCTTTTAATTGGGCTAAAGTGTGGAAAGAGCACAGTGGGGAATAAACATACACAAAACAAAGATGCCACGTTTGTTTTCTGTTACCTTGCTGTGAATATGTTGGCAGATCAACAGGTCCTACCTGAGTGAGCGCGGCTCCGGCGGTGCAGGGTCTCAGCAGACCGAGCAGCAGCAGCAGCGGGACGAGGCGCCACATCCTGCAGACCTTCCCCGACACGGTGCCTCCTCTCTGTGGACGCCTGTCAGCTTCTCTCTCGGGATAAATAAGCTCCGGTGGCAGCAGACGGAGCAGGAGGGGCGCACAGCTGGATGACATGTCGCCATCTGCTGACGTAAACCACGAATGATTGAATGAATGAATGAATGAATGAATGAGTAGCTGACAGTGTGTGCAGGAGGTGACTACCAATATGGTTTTTATCAACATCTGTATTTATTAAGCAAATGTAAAACATGAATAAGCTACACAACAAAAAAAATTTAACATAATCCTTCAGTGTTAATACATTTCACAAAGTTCCTGGTTGATTCTGTGAACTCATAGTTGGGTTAATAATGCTGGGCCATGTGTCTCCTGGGTCAAGTTGGGTCAAAAGGTTGTAGAAGTTGGTTACTTTGACCAGTTTTCCCACTTGTGCACTGTCAAACATTTCTAGTCTGGCAGATAACTTCGAGTACTCATTTATTTATTTAGGCATCCTTTAGGGGGAAAAAAATGGTTAACCTGGATGAAGGCCGGAGTGGCGGCCATTTTGCAAGATGGCGGCCGTTGGCGTCTTATATTATTTCAATATTTTGGATATCTTTTAACCTGGTTAGAACATTTTATTTTATTTTTTAAAACTGATTTTTAACATTACTACATGCATTTTTGAAAGTTTGGATTCGATTCTGGCAACAGAACATGCTTTGGTAACACCTAAATAAAGTAAAAATCTTGTTAATTAATGAGTTATTTCAAACTTATTGATGCAGTCAGACTGTGGAAACATTTAGAATTCAGCAGCTACTTGGAATTATCAGAATTTGAATTAGTTTTACTTTAGTTTGAAAAACGCACGCTTGTTTTTCAGATATTTTTTAAAACAGTGTTACAGTTTAGAGTCAGATGAGAACATACAGACCGTGTGAACTCACCATTAAAAACAATCTGGTATGGTGGTGGTGGTTTTGTTACTTGGTATAGTACAAACTTAACTCTCTTTTCATTTTTGCGACCAAGTATTTCATATTAAAAAGTAATGTGTGTGTTTTGTTTTGTATTATTGTGACATGCGACTACATACGGTTCAGAAAATATCACTAGTTGACTTCTGCAATATGCATATTTTGTGCTCAAAGATGGCACAACTTGTTTTTTTTTTCATAATTCAACTCCCCCATAATTAGAGATTATTTGAGGTACTTATCCAATATGGTAATATTAATATAATTACTTTATAGTACTGGTATAGGACTTTACTGTTTATTAAATAGTTAATGATAATTTTTTACTATATGTATGCTGGCTAACTTTAACAATTTTGTAGTTTGACGTGTAGCTGTCTCTTAGCTGTATTGCTTTACAGATACACACTTTTGTGGTGACATTTCTAGCTAAAGCTAGCTAGCTAGCAAACTTAATGCTAGCTAAAGTAGCATTAGCTAGCTGGCTAACATACCGAAGTGCAGTAAGATATGGAGGCACAGCATTTTTACCGGTTTGGAGAAATAATATTTTAGTGGAGCTAAAACAAGCAGCAGCTAGAAGTAATTTAGACGAGCACACTGTAACATGTGAGTGTCAGGTGTGAATAGTTTAACATGCTGCTGCCTAAATGCAAATGACTGATATGCTGCAGGTGTCGGCCGTTTTTACTGAGCTTGTAAAATCCAGTTTGACTCACTGTGAGCTGGAATAACCTGCAGAGCAATCTACAAGCTTGACTCATTTTTATCCTCTGGGCAATTCAGTTGTTTTGTTTCATCTTGTTTTATTTCTTTATCAAAAAAACATAAATATAATTAATGTGTTATTGTTTTACTAACTTTGCATTTTGATATTTTATTGCTATCTCAGTTTTGTTTTTATGTGCTGACATCTTTTTATTCTATTCCTCGGCTATGTTGTAAATGAGGCCTTCAAACCTCCATGTACTGTTTATATAAAGGTTGAATGAAGGAATATCTACTATTGTATTAAATGAAACAGGAGAACTCCAAAAATTGGGAAATTGGGAGCTAACGTTAACCTGACTTTTTATGTAGTCATTGTAAAACCTCTGAACACTTCTGCTAAACTCTTATTTAATCTGAAAGTTGTGACTGACTTTGCTGCTGGTGGAGTTTTGTAAGAGTGTTATCCGATGATAGTCTGAAAAGACAGACTTACTTTCCATCTGCCACTTTCAATGTTGGCAAATTAAATCGATTCATCATCTTTGGGAGACTGTCCATTATATATAATTTATGTGACCATAAATAAACAATGTGGTGACTTAATAATCATGAAATAATCATTAAAGTCAGTTGAAGTCGGTTTTGTAAACATAGCCCAGGAGAGTGCACAATACCTTTATTATTAATTATTGTTGTAAATAAATACAGACGTGGGAAGGCAACATCAGCATGTGTTCTGTCCCATAGTGTGGAGGATGCACTGGAGCCAAGGAAGCAAATTTTGAAATGTATTTATCAGAAAATGTTTTAGAACAACAACAACAACAACAACAGTACAGATAATCAGAAAAAATGTAGATAATTATCTATTCCATCAACGTGGTATTCACATGATGAGGAACCAACTGAGCAGCACTTTTTGCTGTTTGTCAAACCTTTATATAACCTTCTGTAGTTATCTAACTCAAAATGCTCCCCTTTCACATTCATTTTCTCTAATTAGGACAATCTGACAACCTGTCAGGAGTAAAACAAACACAGTTGAGTGGCCTCAGCGTGCATGCCAGCTGCTTAACCTGTTGTGAACATTCGTAAACACCACTTAATAGGGTCATATATGAGAATTATGTTTATAAAATACACGAATAAAACACTCTCGATGAGTGACTGAATCTTAATGAAAGTGGGATAATAGGCACCAGCTTCCCCAAACAGAGAGACGGGCTATTCTTGTGTTATTTTATTCATGGATCATTTCTCCTCTCTGGGATCAGCTGTTGCCATGGTGAGCTGGTACTTGGCCATATGCCCTGTGGGTGACTAACAGGCCTCTTTGCAAGCCTGTTAGAGCACCTCATTGACTGTATGTCACACACCGTTCACTTCGGATCTGCTGTGTCCCACAAGGCCACAAACGGCATGTTTTACAACAAGGAAACATGAGCAATAACCTTAACATGATTAGAGACACAAATGTGATGAATTTGTTCGGTTAGATGGAAAATATCCTCAAATGGAGTTTACATGTGATGTGAAGTTGAATGATGGACCCTGGAGCTGCAACACAGACACCGTAAATTGGAGGAAAATCCCTGGACACCATGCGATGATGCTTTCAAATAACGCATTAAGATAAAACACTGGATTATCTTAAAACTCCAAATGAGACAAACCTGGGCACAGACACAAAGAAGACCCCGGCATACTCAGCTCCCAAGTGCCAGTTCTCGTCACTTTCCCTTATCTCGGTGACATTTTTGAAGCGAGTACAAGGCGATTCGCGCACCACTTGCTCGGTTTCCTTTGGGGAATCAAATCCCCGAGACATCCAATGCGTTGAAGTGACAGGGTCAATAAGTTGGATGTCTTCCACAGTGTATGTCCTTTGATACTGAAGGAGAGCGCAGCGAATCAAGCATTCAATCAAAAGTCATCTTGAGTGGTAAGTCGGTCAAAAAAACCCATCCTAGAATATGTTTTTATAGTGGAAGAAACCTGAAAGACAGATTGGTACAGTCAGATTGTCTTTACACCAAACCAACTGTTGTCCCCTTACCAGACGGGAACTTTAAGTGTGATCGATGCCAACGATGTCAACACAACTAAGTGCATTTGCTTTTTCCATCCACAGGAAAAGAGGTGCAGTTTCTTGTACAAACACTGGAGTCATAAACCTGATCAAATATCCTTTGGATAAAGTGTACATCGACATGACAGTCAGATGGTTGATAAAGTCAACACCCTGTCAAGAGTCAAGTCCTGCTTTCTCTAAATACTGTTATTTAAACTTTAGGGTGCAGGCGATTAAATGGAAGACTAGTGCAAATTGTGCACTATTGTTTGCATGGTAGCAATTATTTACAAATTATCCCTCTGCCATGTCTATATAGTTGTATTTTTATGTTTTAATAATGTAGTGCAATAAAAACTTATTTGTCCTGTTCTCATAATGATGCAGGCAGGCGACAGTGTTTGGTCACTGGAGAAGTTATTTCCAAAAGCGTGAGAAAATAACATATAAGAGATTCAACTAGAGCACAAATGCATACTAATTTAACGCTCACAAAAGTAAAAAAAAAACATGTTGGTAGTTAAGACTTTGATGATAATGTTGTGTCAGCAGAAACTGACAGCAAATGAATGTGAACTGAAGGTGTTGATGAAGGACACGCTCAGTGGGAAAGCACAGACTTATTTGATCTTTCCGAGGTTGAAAGTTAATGTGACACTGAGAGCTTTTGCTCCTCAGTCAAAGGCATTTTTAATGACCACTTATTTAACTAATTCTTTTTTTATGCTATTATGTCAGCAGTTTCCTTCAGTTTGTGGTTCAGTTTTTTTTTAACCTTTTCTTCTTTAAGTGTGTTGTCATTGATTTGAAAAATGCTATTCTTCCATTATTTCTACATCTTTTGATTGCACTACAAGGAGCAGGATGTTTACTCCATTCGCTTTGTATCTTGTCAGCTTGACTTGGTGTCATAACTAGTGTTTGTCGACTCTCTTTAGGTAAAGCATCAGAAACATACAATGATATAGCTGTAGTGAAGGTCCTGTAGTGCAAATTGAAGCACTTTTCTAGTCTTCTTTCTTACTTTTCCTCCTCCTCTCTTCTTTAGCTTCGGTTCTTCTGTTCACACACCATCAGATTAGATTTTTTTTTTTAAATTTTAATCCTCAGAAGCCAAAGTAGTTTTACAATCCACATAAACATACAGGTCCCAGCAGAAAACATGAAGTATGCTGCCACTACAGTACTAACACCAGCCCTGACAGAGATGATGGAGATAAACAAACTTCATCCCATCCAAGCACTTTGAGGCCACAGCTGTAAACATCTTTGTGTACAGTTAC